CCAAAAATGCGGTTTAATCAAGCATATACTGATTTACAACTTGTTTAACTTTAAACATTACCTCGCCCTTGTTTGGCAAAACTATACGTATCAAAAATGAACAAATTTCCGGTGTTGAGAACATACGGGACACATGGATGGATAGGCAGCCGCAGACGAATCATTCTTATAAAAAAAAGTGGCAAAAAATTCTTTAAAATCCATACTTCATGGCTAGGCTTTATAACCCCAGAATGGCGATGTGTGTATTGTATGAGGTAGAAATTGCGAAAATGCAGCCTCTGGTTGTTTTTAAATCTATTTATAGTTGTTAAAGCGTGCAACAAAAGATGATAGTCTTCATCAGTAACAACTAACAGTTAAAATATAACAATTATGGAATAAGAAGTAATTAAAGGCAACTTATTAGGGAAGTAATGCATTAAAGTCACAGAAACGATGAAACACTAAAATAAATTTACTTCTATGTCAGATGAATATTGTACTTATAAATGAACCTGATGTGTGGCGTGGAAGCGCGACTGCGTGCAAGGGTGCCTTGTTCGAATCCGGGTTCTAGCATGGATATTTGTAAATGTCTAGGGGGGTTGGGTTGGTGGAGCAGTCTTGGCTGAAACCCCGCCCACTTAAAAATAAAGGCCAAAAATAAAAAAATAAATATTTATTAAAAATGTCTAGTATATGTGTAACATGGCCTTCAGGAATAGCTGTGATAATATCAACATATTTTTTCCAAAAAAGCTATAATTAAACATTTTGATTGATTGATTGATGTTATTTTTTCCATATAAGCGTTAGTTGCGCTGAGAGATACAAGAATATAATAATAAGCGGTCTTTATTCTTTTAAAGGATTTCCCATTATAGAACATGTCAATGTTAAAACACTACAATGAGATAATATTCACAAACCAAGAAAAACCTGTGCACTTGCAATTCATGCCCACCGGCCGCAAACAAATTTGTATCGAAGGCCTTCCGTTTCGCGTGGTGTCAGCAACAGCGCTTGTTTCAAGAAACAGCAAAATTTGAGTGCCAACATTTTAGGATTAGTTATTACTAATAAAATAATTTTGTTATAATGAACTATCAACTTAATGATTTATTAAAAACGAGTAATATGTGCACCCCAGGGCCTCGTTGTTCTCGCGCCCAGTTCTCTCGCTCTCCAGATGGCAGCGCCCAGTTGTCCTAGAGACCGAATGAAAGTTGGCATTGTACCATTTCCTGTTGTAAGTCAAAGTTTTAGGGTTAAATATAGGAGTTTAGCGACCTGTGCCCTATGAAAGTCCCATCCGTTGGGCCGCTCTTGTTTTGGGGGAAATTTTTTCAGTTTTTTAAGTAGAGTAGATCGATATTTGTGGTTCGCACTGCTTTTTTTTGCTGCCCTTTATTTATGGGAAGTACAAAGTTAAGTACATGGTTACAAACCGAAAAGAAACCGGCCACCCGTGCGAAGGCGTAACGGAGCCATAAAAAAGTGCTAACGAACGAATAATTAAACAACTCTGTAATGTTATTTTTTGTTTTTTTCACAATTGTATTTAAATCTTAGTAGGTATAATTAATATTAGATGTTTCAGCAAGTTAAATAGACATCCAACCTTCCCTAAACTAAACTTGTTTACATATCATTTTGCAGGTAGGGCCCAATTATATAGACCTATCTTCCTGCATTTCGGGTGCGTCATGCTTTTTATTATACCACGACAAGAATCCGCGATTGTTCATCAAATTTTGATCACGAACGGAATCGATTACACATCTTAATTCGTATGTAGGAGTTACAAATTGTGTGCAGCAGGTTTATCGAACTTTATAATTATTCAAATGGTACATTTCGATTATTACGAGAAAGTTATGATTACTGTGCCCTATAAGCAATCTGTATTGGTAAAGTTTTTATTATTCTTAGTTTTGATATGTACCTACTGCATACTTAAATGGGCAGTAGTTACAAAAGTTTTATATTGCAATCCGCTTTTTTTTAAGAAAACTCCATGTTAATTTTACAGATTCAGCAAACTTATCAAAACTGATGCTTTAAATTGGAATTAATAAGCAAAACTACAGGCATTCAATGGCTTATTCCAATAGAACCCTCGATTACGAAATGCAAGAGGAAGGAAAACTTGCAAGTTGTAATCAGCATTCACATAGACATTAATATTGTCGTTACATGTGGAAAAACTTAGAGGGGTGGCGCATTGGCGAATTGATTTCCACAAGTTATAAGGTACCTATACGTTTTGCCACGTAATCAGCAAATATAATCGACATATTGAAGTGAACGGAGAAACAGGAAATGCATAGAATTTTGGCATTCAAATCCTAGATGCCTTTATATCCACATTTCATTGTTAAACTAACTAACTAATTGAGCTACGTGGGTTATCCTTGCAGTATGCCTAACTAATGTCATAAGGCACAAAGACTTAAATCTATCGTAAAGTGACGAACGTAAACGTGTCAATTCCTCATGAAACCACACCTTCAACGGGGCACGAAAGTGAGTTACGTTGTGCTCTTTTAGGAGAGTAATATCTTTTTTTTTAATTTTCGATATGCATTACGAAACCTTTCAAATTAAATCAATTAAATGTATTATGGCTACTTTATGTGGTCAAACGAACGTGCATATAGGTGGTGAGTGTTGAGGTTTACATAACATCATGTATTTGTTTTCATTTCTATTTCCATTATGCAACGATTGCGTGTATTTAGGCTGAAACTGTGTTTGACGTATTCCGAATGTACTACAGGCATTGACTAATACCAGTCAATGGTACAGGGAAATACCCTGCAATATGGAAGAGTCCTAATACCAAAAATGGAGCCGGGGACAGTAAGACATATAGCGTTTCATAGTCATTTAGGGAAGCTATTTGAAAGGAGAGACTAGAGGAAGAGGTTAAGTTGTCTCCGCGGAGCAATATGGTTTTCGCAAAGGTAGAGCAACAAGGGAAGCACTTCGACGCATCCACACCCTATTGGAGAAAGCAATTGCGGGAGCTAGGACGACCAAGGAAGAGGTGGTGGTGGCGGCATTGTTTAAATACTATACAATGGTGGCGGCTTCTCTGAACGCTTTCAATTCAGGCAATCCAACGCCAGAAGGTACTGGTTAGGCTTAGGTTGGTTCATAGCTACCTCACGAACATAATAGTGCAGGCTACCTTCGGGAGCAACATTTACACTGCGGATCCACGGAGGGGTATCACAAGGTTCGTTGCGGGGGACACTTTTATGGAATATCGCTTATGACGCTGTGCTGAAGTTGACCGTGTCGAGGTGGTGCACATAATTGGGTAGTATACGCGAACGACCTAACGATAGTCGCTGCCTACCGAAGTCTTCCAATCGAAGACTCTTCGTACAATCAGCAATGCTCCCTACTACGTCCTTAATAAAGAAATATCAGAAGACTTAAATGTGATTCGAAATTGATCCCAATCTTCTTGAATTAGAGAAACGGCAATGCGCGTTTACTCTACATGTAAATTACTGTAACTACACTGCTTCAAATCTGATTTGCTTATTGTTATCATTATAACAGATTGCAAATAAATGTCAAACAGTAAAAAAAGATTTGAAAAAAAAAGTTCGATGCCATTGCGGCGCTCCAAAATTTTTTTCAAAAATCCGGCTGGTTATTTTTCGTTCCTGTATGCATATTATACATATTGAACAAAATCCCAAGCCGTTATATCGGAAAATTGGGTAAAGTTGCTTAAAATGATCTAAAACGTCTACATTTGATTAAATAATTTAACATTTACAAAAAACGCAATAGCTCAAGCAAGGAAGCTAAAAAGTATTTTCGACACCACTTACATTACTCATTGTGATTGGTACCTTTGATTTCACTCGGGGTCAGAAACTCAACACATTGTGCATGAAATATACCTATGGCAGTGCAATAAGCGTTTTTAAATTTACCAGTGTTATTAATCGTTTTTTAAAACATCCCTAATCAGGTCTACTGCACTATATAAATGGGTAGCTCTGCTAAATACGAATAGCCATACTACTCCTGAGAAAGTAGGGAAGATAGAGCTTTCATGTAAATGTGCTCAACATAAAATGCCAAATAAATTGTTTAATTTGATCAGTGCTAGGGGGAAAATATGCAGTCTAAAACAATGAAGACTGGATTTTCTCAAAAATGATAATGCAACAATATATTGAAAACGGTGTTATCGTAAAATTATGAAATTTGAAAAGAAAATACTATACATGCATTTTTCTCTTTCTTGTACAGTAAGGGAAAATATATTTACATGATTTTCACTAGTAGGATATGAGTCGTGTTCGAAAGACTATTTAGATGTTTGTAGACAAATTATTATATTTTGCATGTGACTTACGGAAAGCTTTAACTCAAAATAAAATTGGTTGGAACTCGAACGGTGACAGTCGCAATCTTTTTTGAATTCAATGTTAATTTTTGTATTAATTATTATTAGTGCTACGAAAAATAAAATATGTTTGAACCTTTGGGAACCCCACTTAGATTTATCAGAAGGTACCTACCTGAAACCCCACCTCTCTCAAATACCCATTTCATTAGTAAGCAGAGGGAATCAATTTGAACCTGAAACTATTTGGAACTTCCAACGCCTCTTCCTGCACCTTCACCTTAAATTGCAACTTATATACCAGCGAGCATCGTTAGACAGCACCGAGGACAGCACCTAAAAAGTAGTAGTCTACGGATACGTAGTCGCGTAATTGACGATGGTGCATTTTCTTTCCAAAACTTAGCATGTAGGGCTATTGCTGCGATTTTCGGAGTTTTTAATTATAATATGCTATAGATAGTATCTTTAATAAAAGCTATGGTACTTTTATAAATATTATCTGGTACGTTATCGTTCACGTTTCTTTCGTGAAGTTAATAATTCTTTCTTTCTACAAACTACCTAGAGTTTTCAAGTACCTATATAACGTAAAATTAATTTAATTGCTCGTTGTTGTGCTAAATAATATGTTTTGTTTCAGGTACCAATTTTTTCTTCAAGTAAAGCAAGACGTTCTGCAAGCAAGACTACCGGTGTCGTTTGAGTTGGCTGCTGAATTAGGAGCGTATATTGTGCAATGTATGATTTTGCGTTTTTAAATTGACATATGCTAATTTTCCTTATTCCCTTAATTTACTTTTTTAGTACGCGACTCTAAAACATCGGGCTTTGACAAAAGTTTCTCTATATACATTCACCGTGATCGGACCAAAGCACATGAATACCTTTTTGAAGTCTGAAAAGCTTAAAATTTTGCAGTTATTAAAAACAAACGAATAACGTTTCCTTTGTTATTTGCGTCTTATGGCAGGTAGTCTGAAAATGAAATGAAAAGCGAAGAATACCTATGTACGTTTTTCGCAGACGTATACACGCTAGCTCATGAATGAATTTTTAAATTATTGAGTTTCATTCGCACAAAAGTACGATCAAAGACGAGAGATATAATTCGTATAAATCTTCTGTTTAATATTTTTTTATTGAATAGAAGTAGGTAGATAGGTAGTTCGAATTATGGATAAAAGAGAACACCCCCTACTCTCATATTTTTAAAATGGGTATATAATTACCCAACCATAAATTTTTCTTTAGTGTGTGGGAAACTTGAAAAGTGGTAGTCGAGAAAAATGAATCATCGAGTTAATATACAAAACGGAATCGTAATTTTCTATGCGTCCTTTGACCTTACGCCATGCCGCCGTATCCTTATACCGTAAATCCTTATAATCCGTATAAGGCTTTTGATTATCTATAAATTTCGCAAAAAATATTAAGTTAAGTGGATAGGATGGGGATAATAAAACCAATAATAAGTGGGCTGGCTGAATTTCAAACAAAATCATATAAACTTTTTTGTAAATATTTCACATGTTTTTTGTGTCTTCTTATTCATGTATTTTCTGAGCATTATATTTGGATTAGGCGCGGTTGGCATTTTGTTTAATATAGAGGAAAATTAATTTACTAATGGACGACGGATAACAAAGAATAAAAGCAGAAAGGTACCGTATATGACGCGTCCGCCGTCTCATTTCAAGCGTGCAGTAGATTTTAAGATTGTAATCTTTTAGAGAGATATTAATTCTACTTAGAATGATAGTTTTGCGTACTAACTTAATTATATATTTTCCTTGCGACTTCTTCGCTTAACATCAGAACCAAGTCATTGGCCCACAAAGTTTCGAGGTTTAATACTACACCCAACACAGAGAAAAATAATTTACTATGTACTTGCAGAAAAGGCTATATAATTTGTTTGCCCTACCATTTAGTTTCATTTTGCTAGAAGTATATTTCTTATTTCCCTAGCTTTTTCTTTTCTGTCGAATCGCATTCGAATAATACATAATTTTTTTGTATTTGGTATTGGTAGGTATTTGTTGCAGATTGTTCCACCACAGTGTTCCGGTGCTCTCAGTAGATTTTTAATCCTAATGTTAATAGCCATATTAAAAATTACGAGTAGTTTGCCAAAGGACACGATCGCTGTCGATGGTATTACAAATCACGGCGTTTATGAACCATGCACTCAGTAGAGGTCGTGGAAGTGTACTCAAAATGCAAGTCTTAAAGAAAAGTCTTTTTTGTTATATTTGTTTTTTTTTTGCTGCAGCGGTACGTGTTCCCAGAACCCTTTCTGTAGCCGCACGATTTTCAAACGCTGTATTTAACGCTGTATTTTCGCAACTATTTGGTTCACAAACACCTGCGTGAACTTAGCAGCCAGAATACAGCAGCCAAAACCCCGAAAACACCCACACGACCAGTGCACGGAGAATTCAGTCAAATATTAAATACGTAGATAGACAACAAACGACTTAATGACGAATCATTTGAACGTGACATTTCAATTTATCTGTATAGGGTTGTAACCAGTAACCACCTCAAACAAAATAACTCTGCAGCCCTGTTACCCTCAGTAAAAAGGTTTCAATTGCTTACAGAACTCGAAACATTAGTAATTATCTTACCTACTTACTATACAATCGCCATTCACCGCCCGACGGAATGAGCGATTGTACCCTTAAACTACAAAAAAATGTTATACCCCCACAAAAACGGTATCACTTTCTGAATAGACTCAAACGATTGGTAATAACAACATCTGCTTACAATAAGATCCGCATCCACTGCCCAAGGGGTTGATGGGGTGTAATTAACCATTAAAGTACAAAAATATTAATTGTATGTCCCACAAAAAGAGTATCAGTTTCTGACTATATTCAAACGATTGGTAATCACCACATGTACTTACAAGAAAATTGGCATCCACTGCCCAAGGGGGCGAGGGGGTGTAATAACCCATTAAAGTACCTACACACAAATTAATTTCATACCCCCACAAAAAGAGTATTACTTTCTGATTGGACGGATTCGACGGAACAATTGCTATTGTTTCCTTACGTATTAACATATTTTTTTAAAGACCAGAAAGCACCATTTCGCAGAAAAATCTCAGCTTCGAACATGGGATGAATATACAAAATAAAGGGAGGTTACGAAAGATCTATTTTTATGGAAGATTATGAGACTTTTATTTCTCCTTTATATTACCGAAAATTCGAGTACCAGATTTGACCTTGAATTTAAATATTAGGAAGTGGGCGACGCTAACAAAAATTCAATTTTTAGATAAATGGACACATTATACTAGACGGTAAAAATTGTAATTAACCATATAGGTACGCAATAAGCGCTATCAGGATTGGGCCTACACCCATTGAATATTTATGTACTTCAATTGTTAATTACACCCCCTCGCCCCCTTGGGCAGTGGATGGCAATTTTATTGTAAGTAGATTACCAATCGTTTGAGTGTATTCAAAAAATGATACCGTTTTCGTGGGGTATAAAATGTTTTTGTAGTTTTAAGGGTTGGTTACAATCGCAATTGGCAATTGAATTGTAAGTAAGTGTGATTTTTCGGGCTCTGTGAGCAATTGAAATCTTTTTACTGAGAGTAACAGGGCTGTAGTTATTAAACGACAGAGCAAAGCGATGCAAGGTTTATAGGGGAGTCGATGGTGTCCGTCTGTCCGTGAACACGATAACTGTCAGACGCTTGGACCGATTTGGTTCAAACTTTGCACAGTTAACATATATACCACATGTAACAAGCCAATTGAAAATGGGTCAAATCCAATGACTCGTGGGGTCACACCGAGATGCTCTGCCGCTTTTTATGGGTTTATTTTGTTTGGGGTGGTTACAACCCTATAATACAGCAAAATTGAAAGGTCACCTTAAAATAGATGAATCGTCATGAAGTAGTTTGTTTTGTATGTATGTATTTAATATTCGACTGAATTCTCGGGCACCACTGGTCGTTCGGCCTTTTTCGGGGTTACGACTGTTGTAATGCGGGTGCCAAGTTCACGCAGGTTTCACAAACAATAATGTCAGAAGGTGAAACTCCCTTTTTCTGTCTACGTCCTACAGCAACCCCTCTCAGTCCACCGAGAAATGGATGCAAAAAATAATAATATGAACTTCGAGTTTTTTAATTCGAGCAGTAGCATTTAATCCCTAAAAATTGCTCCCTCTCACTCTCACACACATGACGAAGAGATGGATTTCGTCGGGAATACAGTCCAAAAACACTCTTTCGATGCCCAAGGAATGAATCTGACGCATTTTTGATGATCACATGCGTTTTATCCAAGACAAGCATGTGAAAATCTATGCACCGATTTCATTGGAAAAAATTACTATTTGTTTTTAAAAAAGCGGTGAAACTCTGTAGCTTGATGTCCCAAAAGTAAGTTCTATAGACCGTAATTTTCCACTAATTTGATTGAGAAAACTTTAAGACTCTATTGATGTCAACAGGTAAAGTTTTGGAAATAAAATTGTCGAGTTTAAATATGGATGGAACAATACGTTGTTTAAAATGCGCTTACGTAAATCGTTTTACGATTACACTTTTTACTTCTTTTCTTTTTGTGGCAACCGCACTGAGCCATGAAATGGACACAGAATCTTATTTTAGAGGCGGCAAAATGTTAATTCACCACCGCGAGGTAATATTTCTGAATTTTATCCTGCAATGAGATGTTTTAAATGTGCAAAGGTCAAATATGAAGCAAACCTATTTTCCTATTTTTAGATTTTGGTTAAAATTTATTGTGAAGTGACCGAAGTATAGGATTTACATGTTGCAAATTAAGTATTATACATTTTCCCACTTTTAAAAAGGTAATTCCAGTCGGTGAGGGTTGAAGCAGAGTAAATCGCCCCATAATAGGTACTTCTTAACGACTTAAACGAATTCAAACATAAAAAATAAATGTTTATTGCTCATAACACTCTTAAAACAAGATAATATATAGTGGTAATAAATTGTCATTAGCGCAATACATCGTCAAAACTATCTTTTCTCAAAAATTAAAATCCCTTTCGGCTCGGCCGATCAGGTGAGGTGTAGGTAGATTTCTTTCCTCCATTTTGTTCCAATATGGCGGAATTGGATGATTCACGAACTTGACCGAGACATTTATGAGTTACACCAACCCTTAAAGTTTGGTTCATAAGTACGGAAGTTAGAAGTGATATATATTTGCCATTGGATATAAACCTATGGTACCATTACAATAGGTAGGTAGATAAAAATCTACCTAAAATGAGGTACTTTTTTTAATTTATTGTTATAACATCCAATTTCTGTTGTCGCTGAAGATGGCTTGGAATATGGGCCCCTGCAAAATTAGACCCATATGATCAAAATAAACATTTTGTTTCTTGACAAACGCCGTAAGGTCAACAAAAAAACTTTTATGCAGAAGTTGTAAATATAGTAGGGCTTCTCGGTACCAGCACATTCATCACGTGCCCACAAATGGCATGTCTCACACTTAATGCAAAGTTCCCCTTTGGTGTCTTTTGTAAACCGTTCTCCATAGAAGACATACATTCTGCATCACTTTATTCGGGAACGGTTTGATCCACCACTTCCATGTCATTATCATCATCTGCTGGCACAAAATTATCTTCCTCTTCCTCCGACGAATCTTCTGCTTCTACCATTTTTCTTTTCTTTGAGCGTCTTGTGGTATTCATGTCCCCTTTCCAAATTACAGAAAAATGCTGCACAGGGGCTCTTGAAAACGACGTTCCAGTTGGCCTCCGCACAGATAGGAAACCACTGTGTCATCGTAAAAAGACATTCGTCCAACTGCGACCTGCGACTCCATTTCCAAAATGTTATCCACTAATAATTTTTCAATATTTCTCCCTAGTGCACTCTGTCTGCCTAATTTCCACATGGGTGAACGGTGCGTAAATGCTTCTTGATTTTTTAATCACCTTTACTAGATCTAGGTACGCTTGAAGTGCTTGGGGTGCACCTTTTGTGCTTAGTCTTCCTTCCATAAATTCCTTCTTCCATACAAATTTTCTGTTCTTCGATGAATTAATGGTCTTGAAGCAAGAAAACAAGTAACTAATACCCACATTTGACACACTCAGAGGGCCCATATTTCAAATCAGTCGCAGTAAATTGAAAGTTTGTGTGCAGTGGAACAAACAGACCAATGGCAATAAATAATAATGCGTTCTGTTCTGGATTTTCCACCAGCAGCAGTAGGCCATAATTCCAAAGGATTTCCGAAATTCAAGCAGATTAACTTACCTTTAAAAAATGTGGATGTTACTTATTACTAAATAAAAATAGCTCGTAATGTTGACAATTTATTTGGAGTATAAGCGGAGGAGTGGTAGGTCTAACAGGGTTGATAGGTACATGTACATTAGATCGAGACTGCAGTTATAGCGGCAGCTTTTGCTGGGTTTTCTTCGCGCCACTTATACAAACAAATTATAACCATTTTAGAAATTAATTCAAACAGACGATGTGATTTACTGAGAGTTAGTTCCCAGTCCAACATACCTTGCCAACATTTATATTGATTAGCAATTAATGAATATTACTTTTTAGCCGAATTAGGCGATTACGATTCTCGTCGGCATAGTTCAGGTTACACGTCGGAATTTCGTTTTCTATCAAACCAAACATTAGAATTAGAAACAAGAATAGCAGAATTACATAAGACTTTAGTGTGAGTACCTACCATTTGAGTAAGTGTTCGATACATTGTTTGCATTTTAGAGGACAGTTACCTTCCGTAGCCGAATTAAATTATTTAGATAAAGTTAAATGGTTGGAAATGTATGGGGTGGACCTTCATCCTGTTTTGGTAAAACAAGACACTTTTGGAATGTTTAGAAACTTTAACGTTTTAGGGAGAAGATAATGTGGAATATTTTCTTGGTTTAACTCCAAGCGGAATTATAGTTTTACGAAACAAAAACACAGTAGGAAATTATTATTGGCCACGTATATTAAAAATATACTTTAAAGGTTGTTACTTTATGCTGCGCGTAATGGATAAAAATGTAGGGGAGCATGAAATTATCTTTGTATCTAATGCATCACTTTTAGAATGAAGAAAGTACATATGGCTTTGAGACACCTTCTAAAGCTGCCTGTAAGCATCTTTGGAAATGCTGTGTAGAACATCACGCGTTCTTTAGGCTGGTACAGGTTTCTCCAACAACTCCAGATATCTTTGCTTTGGGATCCAGGTTTAGGTATAGGTTCGTAGCCTTTTAAACGTTAATTAAGTGATTAGTGAATTGGTTCTTAGCGGCAGCACGGAGAAACAAGCTGTAAGGGATGCTCAACTACGCGCTCGGACACCTCCTTCATTTACCCGAACTCCTTCAAGGAGGTATCAACGTCGTATCCTGGACGGCTCGTCAGATAGTTAGTTATTTCCTTAGAAATGCAACCGGCTAAAAAGTTTTTTCTAGCAACACAAAATTACGATTCAAATAAAATGAACCATTACCAACAACAAGAAATTAAATATATTTCAATACCGCAACCCGCCCAATCGTAAGACCGAATTAACTTATCTTTGCTTAGTACCATCAACGTTGTTTAAGGTTCGAGAGTCCATATCAAGCAACTTGCACGATGTCAGTGAAAGGAAAACATAGATCTGATTCTCCCAGAAGTACCAAAAGCGCACCATGGTCTCAGCCTCATTCAAGAGGTCTCTATAACACTTCCGCTCCTTCTAGTCCTCGCTCAGTACGATCGGCCGGCGCCCGATGTCGATCATCTTCTATTGATAGCCAAAGTTCAAATGAATCTAGGTCGTGTAAAGGGTAAGTGGAATTTATTGAGAATTTGTACTATCATATCAAATGATTTTGTAATGCGCTAAGAATACGCAAAAAACCTTACTCAATTACTTGCATGTCATGTAAGATCGATCAACTACTACCTACTTCGAAAATTAGACAAAAAAATTAAGAGGGGAACAGTAGTAGCAAATTTGTATACAACATTTGGATAAGTCGACAAAACTATCCTCTGCGTCTCCATGGAGAAGGAGATGTGTTAACTAAACATTCTTTCGTTCTCTTAGTCGACGTAAACATCGCAACAGAATGACTTCTGATAATGAGAGTGAATTATCAAAATGCTCTGGAAGATCATATCGCACTCATAGACGTCACCGCTCAAGAGGAAATAAACGAGACCTTAGCTTAGAACGAGATTCACAGAAGCAAAAAGTCAGGTAACGCCAACCGTTAAGAATATTGGGATGTGACTAAACTACGCATTTTAGAGCATCCGATAGTCATTATGAGCTAGTTGATTCTGGTTCTCAGTGGCGCGAAATACAAAGTAGGCAATTGGGAGACGGTATTTCGAGCAACATTCAGCAAGCAAATATAGTCCATAATCGAAGATCCGGGTACGTTAATAGTGGATTGGAGACGGAATCTGAAAGGTCGTATCGGAATAAAACTCGTCGCCACCGAAAACACCGCTCGAGGTCCAGATCTCCGTCTGAACGTAAAAACTGGTTGTCCGATGAAATAAAAAAGCATTTAGAATTTGATCTCATTGATACTGTTGGTATGAGCGATACTCAACTGCGTGAAATACCATACACTGTTGTCCAAACTAACCATGCCAAACAGTTGAAAATTAAACAGTGGAGTAAAAGGTAAGTGAGCGTGGGGCATTGTAAGCGAGCTGTTTGCATTGGTTTGTACCTACATAAGTATTTTATTTTAGTGATTTGCAATCTGAAAAAATCTCACGTAGCCCTCCTCCGCCATACACGTCTCACATTTCGGAAATGAATAGAAAATCTGGTCCATTATCCTGCAACTCAAGGTGTGATCATTCCACAATCGGATATAATAATTTAATGAAAATTAATAACCAAAATTTAGATTCCTTGCCTAGGTAAAGAGTGCAGTCTTCACCTAAAATGTTTGCGTCATATTTTTTTGTAGGATGCTAGATTCACTAGGACTAAACGATAACACTTGTTACAATAACAACAGTGTTAGAGGAAATGGCATGCTGTATGGGAATCATATTACGTCATTAAATGGTTTGGGACATGATTTAAACGATGTGGATACCCCTCGAGTTAGTCATGAGCACACTGACTCTGGTTTGGGTGCAGAGCAAGAGTGTGGTTATGGCATTGATAGGTAGGTAGAGGGAAATATGATCACCTTGTTTGACTTAAACGATGTTTCAGGTGTAGTGCATTACAAGGTAGTAGTAGTAGTAGTAGTAATACCAAACCAAGCAATGGGGCAGAGATGAGGACTGGACTGATTTCTGTGAGTAAAATTTTCAGTAACGAGTATCAAGCTCTAAACTTTCACCAAGTATATCCTACTTACAACAACCAACCTGCTTGTAGAGCAGAAGAACCGCATTTCAAAACCATCAAACCTACTGTATATAACCAGGATATGGAATGTAAATATGGGGTCAGTTTCTCCTCTTAAACATATAAATTTCTCATTGTACAGCTTCAAAAAGTTCATTCTTTTATTTTCATTTCTAAAACTATTCAGTTTTATTTATCTGAAAGCACAAAGTGTAGGTATATCAACGTGTTTCCCTAAGCAGGATTATGGTTGGATGTTAAATTCAATTAAAATATTTGCTAATAGTCAAGTCAATGAAACCGAGTCGTAATACTCCAGAACATTACAATATTATTAGACTGAGAAAATAAAAATTTCCAACATTTTGTGTGTATTCATTACCGACCTTTTTTAAAATAACGCATTGTTTTATTTTTTCCAGTCACCAATTGATACGAAATTATAAAATGTATATGATTAGTGTTATTCTTTGCCTGTCTCATACTAATATAATATGAACAGTTGTAGATTTTTTAAATTCTTTAATCTTTCTGCGATAATCAGATAGATAGATTCATTTTTTTGCATAACTAATCGAAGTGCTATCTGGAGAATTGTGAACGCAAATAACTGCATTGACTGAGCTATTAGATAGGTACCTTCAAACTGTTCAAAATGAAACTAACCATATTCATCGATTTCATAAGCTTAGGGCCATTGGAACTGATGCTAAGTTTTCAAGGTGGATCAATTTTATGTTAAACTGAAAATAATTCCAATTTGTTGCATCCTTAATACCATACAGTAATAAGTTATTTTACTGTATGGAAATAAGTGTATTCTTTTTAACTTTAAATGATTTTCTCCAATGAAAATTGGAACTATTTTTTTAATTGTAAAAGTTAGAGAGCTAGATATAATTATATTTTTTATAACTCTTACCAAATTCGCACTTAAATCATTTATCATATGTCCGTAGTGAATAATTAAATCTAGTTTAATACTTCTGGGTTTTTCGTTTTGTCTTTAAGGCTGCTTCAATCTTTAGTCTGTGGCTTTGCTTTTAAACAAAGTAGTTATTCATTTTTCTTGACATTAAAATAAATTATTCGTCCTCTGTCTCACATATTTTGAAGCAGACTTACAAAGTTTTTATATTATATTAAACTATGTATAAAATATTATATGTGATACAGAGAAGACAAAGTCGCAGCAATCGTAGTAGTAAAGCTTCCCAAAAGCCTCCATTGCCTTCTATAAAAAATCGTTCACGATCAGTCAGCTTGGAATATGTACTAACTCCACTAATACGGAGTTCTTTTCAGTAAGTACCGAAGACATTAACATAACAAAGTAGATTCATATCGCTGATGATAACACAATGCACAATTCATAAGTGTTTTTATCCATAGATCCCAACACCGCTAAGTGATACCTCTGCTAAGGACGACAGTCAGGGAGGCAAAAAACTTTCGTCAGACACAAATGGAACTTCCTCTACTAGTAAACAAAACAAATGTGAAACAAGTGATTCTGTGGAAATGAGTACAGAATTATAATTTATTGTTCGAAATAATTGAATGTATTTGATGTGGTGTGTATTTTGAGAAAGAAATACCCATTTACACCTCTACAGTTAAGTAAATGTTTCGCCTGTACGATATTATATAGATGTCTTTGTAATTTGTATCGAAAATATTTAATCTATTTGACGACGTTTTATATATCTATCTAGTTTGTATACAGTCAAAATACATTTGTAATTAATTTTACACAATTACCAAGAAAGTAATTGCAACACTACTATACCAGTATTAATTTTAATTTAGTAAGGCCCATGCAAATATATGAATTTTGTAATTTGTGTAATATAGAGCACTTCATCTGTCTTTTTTAAATTTAACACACTGCAATAATCTAATGTAATAGATATAGTACCTATGTTTGCTCAGTTTAGTTCCACATAGAATTTTCATTCGATTTGGCGTTACTTCACATTGGCGATTTTGGTTAATGCCTCCTCTTAATAGTAAACTGGCGACGTGTGGTGTAAAGATTCAAAGAGAAAAACATTGTAAACAATTCTGGCTTTACCTTTACAAAAAGAAAAAGTCATATACCGCGAGCTTGGTATAGTAGAATAAACGCTGGACTTACTGGTTAAAGTTCAGGCATTGTAAATGTATAGTTAAGGTGGTAGTGGTAGAGTAGTCTTGGCTAAACCCCTCTTCCAACCTCTCAAAAATAAAGAAAAATTATACTGAGCCTGGCTTACCTAAAATCTAATAATAGCTGTTCGCCCTACTCATCAGAGAGTCGAGTGAGGCGGACCATAAAAAAAGTAAAACAAAAAACACCAATAAACCACACTAATATATATTATTCGCTTTCCAGAATTGGTCTTCAGGAAAATTCACCTCCAGCATATTCTTTCGCCCCCACCAAAATACGCGCTTCTGACAAAATCCACTTCTGAAAAGTTGCCTCCCTCAGACAAATTCTTTCTTAGCATTGAATAAGTATTCAATGTCCTTTATTACTTAGAGAAAGGCGTCTTTTCTTTGGGGAAACTTCCCAGCACTATTTTGCATGCGAATTTTCCTCGAGTTTAGGAAACGTTTTTGCCTGGAATTTTCTGAGGGGAAGAGACTGGATTTTCGGAGAAAAAAGAGCGAATCTTGTCACAGAAATAGACAAAAACTGTTACAGTTGAAAACATAGCATCAGCTATTTCTTAATTTGAAGCTTAAGTTTTCTGAATGTGATTTTCCCTGGCGAGAAAATTCTCCGACTGCAAATAAGTTATCTGGAGGAGAGTTTCTTAAAATGAAGTATATAATTAATTAAAGAAAGGGTGATACTGTGGGAGTCACTTTCCGAAAGCGTAAAATGTCTAGTGATGAATGTTCTCTTGGGGGGCATATTCCGCGGGAGAATTTGGTTACGTCCCTTTTGCGCAGAGACAGAAAGGTAATATGATGGGGACGTGATTTTTAATTACCTGTTAAGTGGAAGGAGTCGCTCCGTTTATACTGTATTATTGATACATTTGATGAAAATCGAACCAAGCACCCCCTCCCCGAACCGAAGAAACCGACGGAGCACGATGTGGTGGGTAAGAGGTATGTTGGCTGCCTATGCTACAGGGTTTATCTATTTGGCGATTATTACTTTTGTGAATGATCGTACCTGTACATCATTGCCTGTATTCAAATTACACAATTAGCGCTTGTGTACTTTTAGCACAGCTTACTTACTATCAGTAAGCTGTGCTTTTGGTTCTCTATTTAAGAGCAGACAAAGCTTGTGGACTGTGGAATCGGTAGCCGAGCGCGTATGCGATTCAAAAGTTACCTTGACTCACATGAATTTTTGGAGGTAATTCTTTAGTAGCGTCAGATTTGAACATTTCAGAAGCAATTTGAACTGTTCAATATTCGGAGATGAGTATAATTGTCACACTTGAATTGAGTTCATAACAAATATAGGGGGACAAAATCAATAAGGTTATTTCACTAATGACGCAGGAACTTTCCAGGCGAAGAAACAGGCTGTGTTGATCAAATTAATACTACCTGAAATACCTTCAGCTACATAATAATAAGGCACAGCAGTTTCCATACCACCTATCTCAAACTTATTATAATGTCTAGGTATAATTAAGTTATCAGGGTACCAAAGACCAGTTTTGGTTTATTTGGCGAAAGCCTATTAGACTGAAAAGCTCATTTATGACATCTGTTTACACAGTAAAGAGAATGGATTTAAATTAAACCATCTCGTCTGCATTCATTTGTTACATTTAATTTCCGAATGAAAATTTAGTTTCGAGTCTTTGATAGACCCTTTAAGAATAGGCACCTGCAACCACTTGTGTTTTGTATAATACTGGATACTTACATTTCTGTAGGCAACATTATAAGAGATTCAAAAATAGGCTAAGGCATATCTAATGAGGTGTATTGTTCTGCAACTCCAAAATATCACAAGATTTGGAAGTATTTGTCGGATTAGGTAGGTTGTTGCAGACTTGAGTACATGAACTATAGTTCATCCACCTTCATTTCATAAGAATATCAAATACGTGTTTTTGAACATAATAGATCATTATTTGCGTTAAAATAGTACGTAGGTATATACAATATCTTAATATTTAAAGAGAAAAGTATCAATTATTAAAAAAGAAAAATTATACAATAATCAATTATTTAAAGTAAAATTTAAAATTATATAGGTATACAATAAAAATGATAAAATAAACAAAAAAATCTGAATTGTAAAAATAAAAAAGCAAATACATAACACATGGCACAATGGCCATTAAAGTGGAAGACAATTACTAATAACGTTTTTGATTGGGAAAACTGGTATAGCAAATTTTATGTTAGATTGTTCAAGATCATATACAAATTGCACTAGCTTTCCCAATTAAAAGTGCTATATTTTAATGACAAGTGCAACCACAGCAATAAATTCAAAAAAACAACCCTGTTATCGATTTCTGCATTACCAAATGCAGAGAAGAACTTTAACAATCGCTTTAACATGATGTGTTTCCAAGAATTAAAAAATCAGTTACCACAAAATAAAACAGTGAACTAGCTAATTCATTTAGAAATAAATCATACATAAGTGAAATAACGGGCGTTAATAATAATAATTGTTCTGATCAGATCGCAGGCAATTATCACAAAAAAATGTATGCCTTATCACTGCAAAAATTATTACCTTCCACCTTTCAACATATACTTTTCGAATTCCTGTGTACTTTTACAAATTAAAACTATTTTTTTTTCCAAAACTTACCAAGGTTTTTGTTCATACGGGTTTTAGTTTTAGTTGATATCAAACAATATGAATTTATCAACAGCCCTAGCTTCATAGTAGAAAGAGTCAACTAATAGGCATAAGAACAATTATTGAACGCCTGTTAAATCGATTAAAAAATTATCTCAGTTTATTCCGATTTAATAACATATTCCTAACTACATCAGACCTAGGCAATTTCCACTTAAGACGATCGTTAAGCACATCTATCACTGTTGGTGACGACTCATGTAAGGCTCTTAAAAATTGTTTTTCGCCATGCGTAAAATTTTCCTCTTTTTTAAACAGATGTAAACTTACTGCAGCGCACAATGTCGAGGGAATTAGGGTACGTAATTTACTTAAAAGGTCCATTTTCGTACGTTTTGTTTTATGTATTCTTGATCGCAGAATTTTCTTCAAATTCATGATTTCCTTGGTGTGTTTTTCTACGGTCTTGGATATGCTGGATATATTTGGAGAGACTTCTTTTGGCTTCTCTTCAGATGAGGTTGTGGGTAATTTCTTTTTTAGAGGGAGTGAATTTGGTAAAACCTCTTTGATCAGCACAGGTGTGAATGTGGGTGGTGGAGGTGGAGGTGAAACACTGATCGTGCTTAGGTTTTTTTCAGGTAAGATTGTGTTCAACTTCTTTTTCAAAAGAGCTGCATTTGGTACAGGTGCAGAAGTGTTGGGCACAGGTGGTGGGCTTGCAGGCACTCTGACAGTTTTTGGACCACCATTACGCAAAGGAATGCTGGTTAATTCTGGTATATCATACTGATCGTTGTTGTTGTCCAATTCAGTTTTCACAAAAGTTTCTTGTACAACTTCCATTTGGTCTTCCACTTTAAGGTCATTATAGGAATTACTATACAGTTCCGATTGGTCACGTATCTGTGTTTCATTTTGTCCTTCTAGTGCGGCACTAGCCGGAACTATATCGCCATTAGCAATCAGGAATGATCTAACCTGGTTCACATCGCGCACATTGATTGGTTCTGTGTCAACGGTAAATACAGTACCTTTCTCATCAGCCTGTAACACTGTCACTTTGACCGCTTGCGGTTCGTCAGTACACCCCACGTCCAATGTAGGTACCGCAGCCTGAATTAGTCTTTTTTTACTTACATTTGTAAAATAATGCGGTTCAAAGTGATTCTGACATACAACTTTATTTCGTAGCTGATCCTTTGGCAAATCGAGGAATAGGGGTTTGCGGGCGTTTGCAATCCATTTCAAGGACCGTTCATAATCCTTAGAAGGGTAATGAAAAAAATGAAAATTTTTTTCAGAATTATTGGTTGACCTTTTACAGTTTTTGTAACTGCAACGACATCCCCCCATTTCCACAGAATTGTAATCAGGCACAATTAAAGAGCAATTACAAAATAATTATTATAGCCAAGAAATCACATAAACAGCTGACAGAAGCAAAACAAACATGCGTAGTCAGTGATGCCAGCTTTCATATGACATTGCGTAGCAACCTTGCGTTTAGAGAAAAATACCAGGTACAAAGAAATATTCACACGTCAACTTTTTCATAAGCATCACTCGGATCAGGCTCAGAAAGAAGGACGGCGAACTAGAATGAAGACGTGATAGTTTTTACGCCTCGGACTAAATCGCATCCATCTATGTATCTGTCTATTTACACTGCTAAATAGGATAGCCCTTAGGCACACCAAAGCACTATTGTGCTTACTCCTTTCCTTCGCATGCGGCACGAGGCGTAGGAACCAAAATTGAGGGGGGGGGGGGTAAAAACTGACCATGATTATGATTAGTAAATAAACAATTGAAATTCCTACTATACACAGTGGAAATTAGTGGTTTTAAAAATAGTGATTTATCCTCTTCGAGGTTCAATTTCAAGCGGCACTACCAATAATGTTCAACAATTAATTTAAATAAATTTTCTTTTACATATATCCTCCATAATTGAATATAAGTACTGATATAAATTCATTAATAATTTAATTGTATGTACATAAATAAATTACGTAATTATTCATCCCCAAGTGAGTTCATGAGCTAACTCTATTACGTTTAACCCTACCCATCTTAAATATGATATTTTATCGGTAATAATAATAACCCGTAACCACTATTGTTAAATCTAAGAAAAGTTTTTAACGCCACAACCAAATTTTAAGAACAATATAAAACGGATTTTTCTCTCACGAAGCGCAACGTGTACTCTACTGCATAAAATGCAATAGAATTCGGTTCCGATTCCATCCACTGGTTGACATGTTCATGCAAAATAATAATACACTATAATTTTATGTATTATTTTTTTCCTAAATATATTTTTTTATGTAGGAACCTTTACAAACCGGAAAAAAATTATTGAAGTCGCAGAACCGGAACTGGTATAGAAACCCTTAAAAAATAATACCACGGAACTGGAACGTATACAACAAATGCAAGGGCAGCCCTTCCGTAGCCCAGGTACGGGACTCGCCGTGGGGCGCCATGGAACAGTGTCCGATAGTGACGGCTTATCAGTATTTGTAAGTGCATAACGGGTCGCATTGGTTAAGCAGCCAGGGCTGTAGTACCTCGCCTACTTTAAAAATGAGGCAAAATAAATGTAGATATCAAATAAAGTAATAAAAATAGCTTGGGTTGCCTGTTGGTTCTTCTACGCATCCGTGTAGGAATGCAGTTCATGGCAAGCAACAGATCAGATTGCAAACTTTTGAACGTCACTGGTTTAGTAACAAAATTACGTGGGCAATCGGTACAAGAGGTACAGAATCACATCATAACCTTCGTGTGGTATCCACTGCCTGTAATTGTATGATAAGGAAGTTAAATTTATTTAAACAAAAAATTATCTAAAAATAAATCGTTTGCTCTACAACGTATTTTATTGGCCGCTCATGATTTAATTGTGATACCGTTTAAATTTTGTATTCAAGTTCACTGTGATGGAGCAAGAGAATCAACAAGAAATTGATACCCAAGTATGTGTAAGGTAAAGTACATTTATGTTAATAAACAGCTGCCGATTTCAGATGAGCGCCCATGAAGTCGAAAAACTAGAAGAAGAAAAATTGAAGGCAAAGTATGGATCTGCTATGGGTGGCGTGAATGTCGTGCGTCCTATTGGGGGCCATTCCGCTTTTTTGCAGAAGAGATTAGCAAAAGGTGTAAGTTCACCTCACTATAATAAGTACAACTTTAATGTCGCTCAACAGAAGTGATACCTACTTTCTTGCATGGCATGTTACTGAACTTGTAAATCGTACAGAAAAGTAACACGATAATTGTTGTTTGAAAAACTGTGATAAGTACTAATGCTGCTTTCTGTATTTTATTCTCAAAGTTACGTTTAATTCTAGTAATTGATAAGAGCGTTATTGTTTTTAGCAAAAATTCTTTGATTCTGGTGATTATCAGATGGCAAAACAGAAAATGGGGGGTGTCAATAAACAGCCTTTAAAAGTATCCGGTCCCGTGAATCCGTACGCGACTGGTGAAGCCATTCCAACACCTGAAACAGTACCTGCAAGAAAGACTTCGATCATTCAGCCGTCAAAATTTACCTCAAATGTGAGTTAGTGTGATTTATTGATATTTTATTAAAATATGTTTTTAATATCGTGAGTCTGTATTATGCTTTATGTAACTTGTATACACTTCTGATTTTAATTATTATTGGTCCTTTTTTAATTATAGTACAGTACAATAAATAAATGGTCACTTTGCGTAATGTTTATTTGACTTTTAGTACAAATTGTCATCATCATCCTCAATTATCTGGGCCAGCTCTAGGTTAACATCATTGATTTTGTCTAAAGAAATATATTTTCCATCCACAAGCATTTGTTTAACTGTTAGATATGGTTCTGTATTTATCATAAGTTGGGGTAGGACTATACATTGAAATTGCTCAGTTTGGTTTTTCATAATATTGACTAATATGGCACTTGGTCTTCCAATTCGAACACTTTCCGTCATCATGTGGAGTATGTTCACTTTGACATTGCACTAAAAAAAGTAAACTAATTAACAGATTCAGTTACACCATGTAGGTAAACATTCAATGCTACTCGAATTTTTACAACACCTGCTACCAGTCAACATTTTTGTGGACTTGTTTAAGAGGTACACTTGAGAAAGTCACTAATGCCGTTACATACACAAAGCTACTCTCAAAGACAAAGTGTATAATTTCATCCGAAATATACTGCTGCTAAACATGCCCCACCTTCATTATTCACCCAAGCTAACCGCCCATCTACTAACAAAACCATTCAAATGCCCATGTACCATATGCCTGCATATTTCCCTCAATTCGACAACTGACTTGTAAAAAATACTATATGAGGACCAGACTTATCAAACGAGTTGGAACACCAAGTGCATTACATTGGTTTTCTGGATCTGGGACACATATCTATAGGTTAAGTATGGCTCGACCAGGACATGATTCTAAATTACTTTAAATCCTCTGGATCAAATCCAGAAATACAACAGTAATTTTTGGCCCTCGCGTGAGGCACCCTAATATATAACTCAAAAGGACACCATATGGACAAGAAACCGCTTAGAACCAAAATCTATACACATTCATCCTTCAATTCAATTCAAAGCATGCGCAATAAGATGGCAACGCAAACAATTTTAAATAATAATGGTCAATTAATTAATTAATAGGTCACTGGACCTAGTAGTGGAATTATTTTTTAATGGTTGCGGTTCTGTGGCTTCAGTAATTTCCGGTTCCAGGTTTTTAAGGATTCTAACATAAAACTAATATTTAAAATATCCCCTTGTGAATCGAAATAGAATAGCTTTCCTCATACACTCTTACTGTTTTTCATTCATTTTGGGTATTAGTCACTCTAAAATATTTTATTTTTTTATTTCATATTAAGGTTAAGTTGGTAGAAATTAGTGTGGCAGCTGAGAATCTTTATTTTTGGCTTTACAGTACATTTTAGTTAGTCACCTCAGTTGGGCCAGAGTGTAGTCCTCCCAGTGTGGACGAAATTCAAACTATTTCACAACGTATATACACTGCATCTCTTATTATTAGTTCCTTCCCTGGGAATAATCCGAATAATAACGACAACTATGTAAAAACTGTGACTAATTAAGACAATATCTATTGTTTTGTTTGGATAGTCCATACCTACTACATATCGACTCCACTTTTTTCTTCAAATGCTTATAGCAGATAGCTTGAAAAGCAATGTTCCTTCATTTCAAATACCGCTCCTACACCCAATAACCACCGCAGAATAGCCACCCTTTTCTATCCACAGCGCCGCGGACCGAAAAGTCTAGCCTCTGCAAATGTTTATTTGGCGATGTGCACAATATTTGTAAATAATACAGTTAATCTCAAATTATCTACTTACGTAATTAACTGATGGCGACTTGTCCAATTCTTGTAGCCGAGCTCTGCACAATGACTTGTAATTGTGTATTAGATAATTACACATTAAAGGTGCGTCGAGCGATAGGCTGTGCTGAACCTTTAAATAATCTTTGGATTCGTACTGGACCAGCTCGATCAACGTGCTCATTAACAATTTAAATTTTGTTTCGGAACATTTCCGCTTAAAGTTACTTCGACTGCCAAAGGTTGTAGAATACCTAAAAATGTATTACTTACTTATTCACTTTGATACCTTGAATTTACCATGCCGAATAATCTATTTTGGCTTTTTCCTCCATATAAATCTGTCTAGCAAACAGTAAGCACTTTACCAAATTCAGAGGTTTTGGACGTTTAAAATATTGTTGTAACAGTGTGGATGTAACATCTGAAAAAAGTTTCAATTTGGACACACTTACCACAAGTTCTAAAATGGCGGTGCCACTAGGTTTTGTCAATACCTATAACAATGTAAGCTTGTTAACTTTACAAATCTACTTGAAAAATGCACGGGTATTAAATGATAGTTTACCTATTTAATTGAATTTGATTGCTTCCCTATCATGAAATGAACCAGTACCTACACAAATTTACTATTTAAAAAAAACCTCGATTAATGCAAACCTTTAGCGTGTTCTCCTCCAGAGCCTGACTCATTAGTAGAAACTGCTACTGCTGCCAAGGTATACCTCCAATTTACTTTTTCATCACAGTCTTCCATTATATCCATAATATCGTGTAATGTGCAAAACTTTCTGAATACCTTCAAATCTCTGAGTAACGTACAGAAAGAAACAACAGAAAACAAACCTCTGATAGGAATGTGAAAAGATTTCTACTCAGTCTGCTCGATTTCCACAGCTCTTGATATGTGTATGCAGCGTAGATATCGAATTCATCCACATTGTAAACCATTAGCTTTTTTAGGGCAGTTCTAAAAAAATCTTTGACGACGACCCCTAAAAAAAGGAGACGCATCGGAAAAAACAACAACATCAGTGCAATTATTTTAAATGTCATAAGATTTTAAAACCAAAAAAGCTTTTCACACATTTAATATAATCAATCGATTTCTAAGCTCTTGTGTATACAAACATAGACATACTAAGTATATTAAGTAAAAGTTTGTGTATAAATGATAGTGGCCCCTAACTTTTTTTGAGCTCTCTCATAAAATTCCCTCTAGCTGCCCAGAAGGATTCTAGATATCTTCGATTATATTGATATCCTTCACAACTTTGATTTTTAATCCCTTAGGTTATTGAGTGAGAATTAATATGTAACACATGATCTGTAACAGAAATACAGTGGATACTTACTAGGAAGCTGTCTATCTAAATTTTGCACATGATTGAAAACATTGAGATAAGAACAAGAGCTATCAAGAAACACAGCACTCAAAATGCTATCAACCATATCGTACAAAACCTTGCTGCAAAATGATTCCCACTCCACACGGTAATGTAAATGAAATAAGCTCGGCGGTGTGTATGCGTGACGAAGAAGTTCTGCAATGAGATCAGGAACAATTCTATCATATACAAATATCGAGTGTTGCTTCTTAGCTTCAATATATCTCAATAATGATGCAGATAATGTCATGTACTTTGAAAAACAACTACAACAATAACGATAAACTTCTCATGCACAATTAGCGAACCTCTTACCAATAGTGAACGAAGTTTGTAATGTTATGTTTATGTAACCACCACAGTATTTCTATGGGTAACGTTAGAAATTCTTCTGTGAGGTAAGAAAAAAACAAAGAAGAGTTGAATTTGAGCACTTTTCTGAGGTGCAATATACAGCTTAATATTGTAGGTAATTCCGTGTACTGGCCTTCAAATGTCTTTTCGCGAATCGAACGTGACATACACCTATAGAAGACCTGGAAGTAGAAGGGTAGGTGATGGCACTTTATATGAGATTACTCACTTGGAAGCATAGTGCAGTACCGTCTTTAATGTCTTCGTTGTTTATAATCTCGATTGCCAACATTTGGAAGTCGTTGATGTTTAATGAACGATACTGACTGTCGATATCCGATAAAAATATGTCATCAAAGTCAGTCGTATCCATCGAATAACGTAATTATTGATAAATTTAGATTTTACACTTTAAAACATACATAACCTAACAATAATTGTTGTAGCAACGGGGTGCATTCAACCATATGTGCATTCCGAAGCTACGATAAACAATGCTTATGCTACAATACAAGCACAGATTTAAATATACTTTACATCTTGTGATACATACAAGTAGGTATTGACCTGTGACCAACCACTCTACCGGAGACACCCTGTATAATTAAAATATTAAAAAGGTGTAGAAATTCTGGAAGTTTGTAAGGAATTATATATATCAGTATCAATGACTGATTATGATTTATGATTTCCGTGGAAAGTGCAAAACAGCTTTCCTATGGAGGAAGGCGTATGTTAAGAAAAAAATTGATCTTATTTTACCGATCGATATTAACGCAAATTTAATCCAATAATATAAATACGTGAAATGAGTTAACCAAAACGGTAATTCAATGGCTTATGTCCACATTAGTTTTTCCGGTGCGAAATGAGAACCCGATTCTTTATAGAAATAGAAATTTCTTACTCTGAGCGGCAATTTTAAAAAGACCGGTCACGATCTTGACAAGGGAGTCACATTTAGATTTAGAAACGTTAAACTGCGCAGTCTATTATTTATTTTCCAAAGGTCATGTCACGTTTCTTTGTTGACAAATCCCTAACCTAACAAAAAGACTTCTTTTGAAGTTTTTATGCCTCCCTAAAACCCGTATCGGTCACCGTGACGTATGTAATTATGTAAGCAACCAATTGTGATGATGAATAATGGGTGAAGATAAGTATTGACACAAATATGTGGGTGACGTCTCTTAATTTCTATAAAAACACTGAGCAAAAGTTTACAAATAATACCTCATAGTGCCATATGTGAGCTAGTAATTACGCGTGATTATTTCCCTCCTAGTGAATGCTCAACTTATCAATCATTTGGTCATACATGTGACTAAAAGGTTTAACGTTAACCGGTACCAGTTCATACTCCCACAAGAATGGATACCAGCGGTAGTGGTGCTGTGATGGATAGTGGTGAATATACTGAAGTTTATCGCAGACTGCCCTTGAAATTACAATTGGCGTATGGCATGGGCCACGTTCTCAACGATGTGTGTGCTTCGATGTGGTTTACCTACCTGCTAGTATTCTTCCATCTAGTTTTAGAATTCAGTAATTGGGAAGCCGGATTCATGTTGTTGGTTGGCCAGGTATGATCATGTCATAATGTTCCTGCAAATCATCTAAAACTCATCGTCTAGGTCGCGGACGCCTTGTCTACCCCTTTTGTCGGTTTTCACTCTGACCAATCGGACAATATTTGGCTGTGCCGCTACGGCAGAAGAAAAACCTGGCACTTATTAGGTAAAACATGACAGGTATTTGGACATTTAATTCATAATAACATTTGCTTGCATCAAAGCTTTAGCTAACTTTGTGCTTTTTTTAGTTTTTGCAACTTTTTATAACCATGGGCAGCCTAAAAGTGTTTCAATTATAAGTCAAAGTGCAATCAAACAAAAATAAATATTTGTACCTGGTAATGATAATTTGTCTATCATTGATATCTTGAAATTGATTGGACATGAGGCTAAGTCACTGTGAATTTCAAAACTGGTTTACCACTTGAAATATAATTTTTTTATCACTAGTTCATCTACATTACTTAACTGTTCCATTTTAAAAGTTTAATTGTACCCATCCAAGACCAAGATTATATCCTCGATTATATCTTTTCCTGGAAACTTGTTTTTCTTGTAGTGTTCATTGCAGGAGTCAACAAATTCCCATTCTTTTTCTTGTGCGTAAACTCCAGAATTGGGGACAATTCTTATTAGACAAAAAGAGCTAACACATTTACATAGGTGTTTGACTCAATGCTTGGGTTACAATTTATAATCATGTTGGTGGTTAAAGGTAGGTTTAATTATGGAAGTAATTTTTTAATCAAAAATTGATTTCTCTGGAAGGAAAGTATTGGTTTACCCCAAACAAATTAAAAAAAATTGTATTTTCCCATTTCTTCTTGAGAAATAGACAAAAAATGGTTTTTGAAAAAAAATCCTGTTACAGTGTCGTTGTGGGACTTTCTTTGTTAGGACGATAAATTCTCATATTCTCAATATTGTACAGTGTTTCTTAGATGAACCCTATTTGTTTTGAGCTTGTTCCTCCTTAAAAAACCCTCACTCCAACAAAATGAAGAAAAAGTACTGAATGAACTTTCTTATTTGTGGAACGATTTTTTTGAAATTTCAGCAGTGAAGAGGGTACTCACAAAGTGAAAATGATACATCTTGACGAAGCGTGACGTGTAAGGAATATAAAAATGAAGATCATTGATTCCTTGATCCTAAGCACCTGCTCATTTGCGTACAAAAATAAAATATTTTATGTTAAGAATAAAACGGTTGCATACCTCTTTTCCAGAAAGTTGAGCGTATCCCCAAGATGCATTGCGCTAGCGCATGCGCAAATGATATAGGTACAGGTTGTTACATATAAGTATTTTAAAAAATGTCCAAATAAACCGATGGTCCAATGTGTTTCGTTTGGGAATCACCTTTAAAAACGTGAAATTTGCATTTCTTCTTTAATTTTGTTCTCAGCAATCATAAGATTTAGAAAGACATGCCGACCATTTTAATGGGATATGTCCACTTTCAAATGCGATGAACGAAATCAAATTCAATGTACAAACAAATTTAAAAAATAAAATTCTAGAGATTTTGAAAAATTCAAGAAATCTGCTCAAACTAGAAAGATTCAGAAAAGGTGGGAAAAAACCTGTACACAAAAGTTGCTTTCTCTGAGGTAAAAAACTCGGAAAAATTAAGCTGCAAGTAATGGTATTCTTTTACTTAACTTCACTTAATTAAACGCTAGGGACAAGGCTGAGGTGGTCCGACATACAATATATTTTTAAAAATTCGTCAAGATCTACCAAGTGCATCATTGATGTAGGTAGACACGACGTTTACGGAGAGATAAACACTTTATCTTTGCTTCCTGCTTGCTTGCTTGCTGCGTTTATACCATTTTCGTTTTATTGTAACTGCAAAATGTTTCGAGTGTAGCTTAAAATACTTTCTTTTAGGTTCAATATGCGTTATCAGCTCCTTTCCGTTTATTTTCTCGCCCTGTTTAAACTGCTCGGGAAGTCATTCGTGGGCGCAAATGATATATTTTTCAGTATTCATAATCATCTTTCAATTTGGATGGGCCTCAATTCAGATATCCCATCTATCATTAATACCAGAATTAACGCCGAATGAGCATGACCGCACGAAATTAACAGCAATTAGGTAAGACGCGTGGCTTTTCTTTGAAATTTAATTCAACTTTACTTATTCGCAGATATGGTTTTACGGTACTTTCTAATGTACTAGTGTATATTATAACGTGGTACGTTCTACATTTGAATGGTGGCACGAATGAAGGTCAAATTGGACCTGCAGATGCTTCTAAGTTCCAAACCGTGGTTTGGACAGGATTGTCTATTGGTGTATTTTGTACGATCATATTTCATATATTTGTAAAAGAGCAAAACGATTATGGAGGGGATAATGTTCATGCTGGCCAGCTGCGGACTAGCATATCAGAAATTTTCAAAAATCTACAAATTTACCAGGTAAATTATTGCTTCGATGAATAATCTGTTTGCACCTGCAATAACAAGTGATCAATTAATTACCGTGTAAGTGAAAGTCATGCTTATGAATAATTACCACACTATTTTCTTATCTCTTGCTCACACTGACGTAATACATTTTCCTTGAAATGTACGAATTATTTAATTGGGGATGCTTATTCTACAGTCATCTCTCACACTGGGAATCTTGATTAGTTTAAGGGACACGTTGTGGTTAAATTAGGTAAATATAAAGCCAAATTTCAAATTGAAAGCACATCTAACTCTTAACTCTTAGTTTTGGGTATAATTGAATAACAATCAACGTTTTAGTTTTTTATAATGTGTATTAACTGCACTGATTTAAAATCAAATACAGTGCGTCAGTGCTGTATTGGAGGGTATATGCGGGTATACATCGTATTTCAGCTGGAATTTTTGTTGAGTTGTCAGATTCTTTGTGCACTTTCGTTCTGGTACATCATTTTGGGGCAAGAATGTTGGAAATGCTTTTATAAAGAACAAAAAGGGAATACCCAAAAACTCGCTGCAGTCGCAAGGTATTTTGGGAATACAACAGTCGAGCATGATAGCGTCACAGTCAAGTTCATAGATTGGTAGTTTTACCAAAGAGTACCCATAGTAAGAGATCCAACGGTATAGGGAAAAGTATTGTGTGTGTAATGTGTGTTGCCTAATCAATTTTACTGATTTTTCGCGGATTTATTGTACCGCACGCTACTCCTGAGGGGCTAAACCAGATTTTTACGGCGACTACTTGTTTGTAAATTTATAAATATAATTGGCAGAAGTTTCAGCGTTGCCAATTGTTTGTGTTTGCTTACCTACATATTTTCCTTGAAAGCAATTTACTGGAATATATTTTCTATTGCCACTCCAATCACAATAGTGATTTAAATGAATTTAATGCGATTTTTTGGATGATGAAATTTAAAAATAATTATAATTACCTAGCAGGAATTTCGTACTTACCGTACCTGTATGCAGGCTGGTCTACGCACGCACCATACGTATTTCAATGGTAATTTCGTTTTACTGAAATATTTTCTCCCCTAATTATCTCACAGCAAAGTTGTAAATAAATGTTTTGTAGATTGTGAAATTGTACGTCTATTAATTTGCTTATTTGTATTTTTTTGTTATGATTAATCGAAGAAACGAAGGAAGTTAGCATTTTAGTGAAAATCACTCGTGCCGTGAAATTATTGAAACAAAAATTAGATTTTTACGTAATTGCTAAATTCTAATTTATTTTATTTTTCCCGTTTCCAGAATTGAAAAATCATAAATGAGTACATGAGCAGACGCAGATTTTTCCGAGCTACAAGAAACCTATTTACAACTTTGCTCTAAATTAATTCGGGGAGAAAATATTTCTATATAAAGAAATTTGAATTGCACTGTGGCATTTAAACCGTTTCTACACCTTGTGTAGCCCAATTCCGAAATCCAAAATATTTACGCTTAACGTTGCGCGCAATATGGAAATAATAATAATGTACATACATAGGATTGTAAGGAGTAGGAAATATTGAGTTGGTGGTTAGGTGATTACGAGGGTGATTACCTATAGGTTCTCAGAATAAAACAAAAAGAGCGAATTAATACAAATGTTTACAGTCCATTAGTCACATAGATAGGTTCGATGAATAACATTCAACAAACAAAACTGTTTACTTTTTACTTCCCCTTTAAATTGTTTAACCATTTATCACATCGTTCTTTTTCTAGGGGAAATTGAAAAATTGTCACCGTTTCGGCGATTTGCATCGCAATTAATATATACACACGAATGAACCATCGATTAAGTTTAAACTTTTAAAGATACGTTATCAAAACACAATATAACTTTAACAAACCCTGGGATGTGGTACTGTTTAGCATTTGAAGGGAACTAACTGTACGTACAAAGGGTGGAAAGTCTAGGTGAATAACAAAATAAAAATTTAATGACATTTTTGTCATTGTACTAGTTATTCAATTGAATGGTAATTACTTTCTATTCTATAAATGCCAACTAAACAGGAAGATATTAATCTAATTAACAATGTACTAAATCTCCGTTGCTTATTTCTTTTATATTAAGCATAATGGTTTTCTAATTATATCATTTCACACAAAATTAAATGTGACAACCGCGCAAATATTTTAAACCGAAATTCTATAAAGAATTCTGCAAATTCTAATTTCGCGGCAAAATTTAAAGGGGCGGTTAGTTCTGGCCACCTCTACGCGAGGGCCCGCTTTTGGAATCCTAGCTAAAGTCCCTATCCTAGCGGGAGAGTTCTTATAGCCAACACGCGTTTATACCATTGCGCTGTATCTCTTACTATGGGTACTCTTTACTTTTTGCTTCTATTTCGGTATTTCGGTTTCGCCAAAAACAAACATTTTGTCTAAAATATTGTGATTGGCAGCTACACCCTCATTCGAAATATTAACATTGCAAGTGACAATTTGAAGTCGAACTCTTAAAATGTGGAGTTAAAGTTTTGGGCTTAAGATTTCTCATTATAAGGTGAAGGTATTTAAAAAAATTTATCAGAATTTGTATATGCATCTTGTCATTTCTCAATTCTCAATGTGGTTTAAGAGCCAGGGACCTTTTTTCTGGCCTCGCGTATTTATGTCACTGGTAGGAAGATGGAATTAACGATTTTACCTGTGGGTTTGCCCCGTGCAATTTTCTAAGCATTTTCTCAAAATTCTTATACTCTGAGATTTTATATTTTAAACTTCCAATTCTTAGTATTCTTAGCACTTGTCGAAAAAAAAAAGAATATAAACTGAACCGTAAGTTTACATTCTATTTGCGCACGCGGAAGAAATGTGCCCAGCATGACATTTTGACCATTTTTGTTTTTTTTAACATTAAAAAAGTAGTTTTGGATTCATTATTTTCATGTTGAAAACCTTTGGATACCAAATTTCGACCAGATCAAAATTTTTTTCACACTCTCTTGGAACGGGCGACATCGCTGCATAACATTGCACAACATTTAAACAAGTTTAAAAAATCATTATGCAAACATAAATGACGAGAGCGTATTTTCTTCCTAATAATATTAATGCTAGGACCAGGAAAAAATACAGGTAGGCACGAGATCCTTACCCTATTCTCATTCAAATGAGCCGCCTATCGTCAAAGTCTATACAGTTTAATGAAAAATAGTGGAGCGTATACAAATACATACAAATTTTGAAATGGGCATTACTTTTACTTTTATTCGAAGTGTCTACATATGGAACTTTTTATAAATGCTTTAGGAAATAGCATTGCGCATTGTCTACAAATTTCATTGAATGCCTTCATAAATAAAACATACAGCATGCGTTAACAGTAATTTTGAAACCGGTATTAGTTTTAGTTTCATTCAAGGTGCCTACATATGATATTTTGTTTAACTGCTTTCATAAATAAGAAAGTTGCCATTGCGCATGCGGAAAACCAAATTTTGCAACTGGTGTTAGATTTGTCTTTATTTCAAATGCCTATGTACAAAATTTCATTTAAATGCCTTCATAAATAAGAAAGTTGGCATTGCGTATGCGCAAAACAACGCATTTTGAAAATGTCGTTAATTTTACTTATATTCGTAGTGTTTACATATAAAGTTTCATTTAAATATCTTCATAAATAAAAAGTTAGCATCGCACATGCGTTAAACCAAATTTTTGACACTGCGCATGCGCAAAACCAAAAAATATGGGTATCCACGGAATCCTTGGACCAAGCCCTTTCAAATGAGCCCTATATCGCCAAAATCGGTACAGTGGTTTAGAAGGAGTATGGACAGACGGACGGACGGACGTCAAAGTGCAGCCAACAGCGATTTTTCAATACGCTAAAAACTTTTTATACCTTGAAAATAGGCTGCATACAAATAATTTGGTCATTTTGTTTCAGGTAGCTGTTACCTACATGGCGACACGACTATTTGTTAACCTAAGTCAAGTATTCATTCCACTCTACCTACATGAAACCTTAAACATGGTCGCCAGCGCTCTGGCCTTAATTCCTTTAATTATGTATATAGGCAGTTTCGTGACGTCCATGTGCATCGAGAAGTTAAATCGTAGCTTCGGAAGAAGGTTTGCATACGTCATCGGCTCAGCACTTAGCTTAGTTGCGTGTTGTTGGATCGGAGTAAGATCTGGTCCTCAATACACCGATTACGAAATTTACGTTGTTGCTGTGCTCTTTGGTAATAATAAGGTTGGTTTTGTACCTATTTGCAATGTTTGCCTTTTACAGGTGCTGGAGGTTCTATTATTTTAGTTACCAGTTTAGGGATTACAGCAGATCTCATAGGTGATAAAACTGGAAATGGTGCTTTTATCTATGGAATAATGAGTTTCACTGATAAGTTAGCTAATGGAGTCGCCGTTATTATCATACAAGATTTGTAAGATGATTTGTCCTTTATTCGTTTCATAAGTGTACAATTTTAGGCATAAGAATAACTCGGACGTGACATATTACCGAAACACAATTACTTTCGTGTGTGGCGGATCAGCGATATTAGGCGCGTTATCTGTGATATCATTGATTAAACGAAGGCAAGGTAGGTAGGTACTGCAGTTTAATATTAAATTCAGACAATGATTGCCAGTAACTCAAACTGTTTTCTTCCAGATAATTCATTATTTGGTGAAACTCCTAATTATGTCAGTATTAATTCGGACGCATCCCCATCAGAGATCCAACCACTGATTGCATAATTAAATTACTTAATTAACCATTGTTTTTTACAACATAGCTAATTTTATATTTATTAATAGTTCCAAGTTTAGAGAAAATATATTTATATATTATTAAAGAGTAGCTTTTGCGCGCGTATAAATATTACCCTCTACTAGGAATTTTGGGAAATCCTCCCCCTACAGTCCCCAAGAAACATGCATGCCAAATTTCGTCTGTCTATGCCAAGTAGTTTGTGCTGTATGTTGGTGACTTAGTCGGTAACGTAAGATTTTTATAGATAGGTATATAGATTTTAGCCCCACTTTTCAATAGCCTGTGCTAATGTTTTGGGAAAAGTATTTCAGAGGTTGAAATGGCGTTTCATATCAACCCTTTTGGTACACAAAGCACCAAAAGAAAGTGTTGGATGGAATAACATACTCCTGCTGGAGAATATGGATTAGTGCAGTTAGTATTGCAACATCTTCCTTTACTATAATTCAAAAGACGGAGGGGAAGTAATCTTAATTTTGTTCATTTTTAACTTTACTTAATGCTGTTCATGATAAGATTCACATGTGAAATGAATACAATCATTAAATAAGTGCTTATTCAATGATATAATAAAATAAGGTACAGTTTTAGCATTACAGAAACAGTAAAAGGTGTGAAAACTGATTTGCTTCACCTGTAAATCGTTTGAATTTTAATTAAAACTAAAACTGGCACGATTCAGCAAAATATACTATTAGTCCAGTCGGGAGGGATTTTTGTGATGTAATAGTAGATAATTTTTTAATATGTTGTTGAGGTTTGAGCCTTTAATCACAAACCACCAAGTATTATAGTTTTACTTTTATTCCAAGTGGTGTCTATATACTAAATTTCATTCAAATGATTTCGTAAATAAGAATCTTGGCATTGGGCATGCGCAGAAACAAATGTTGAGACGTGTTAGATTTGCTATTATTCCAAGTGCCTACATGTGATGTTTCATTTAAATAATCATCAATAAGAAAGATGGGAATCCGGCCTGTGTGGCGCAGTTGGGTTGAAGCTCGGCTGCGATACTGAAGATCCCTGGTTTGGTACAGCAGCCTTGGCTGAAACCCCGCCCACTCAAAAAATAAAGACAAAAATAAAAAAATTAAAATTTTGAAACTTGCGTTAGTTTTACTAGTGCCTATATATTAAATTTTATTGAAATTATTCTGTAAATGAGAAAATTTTGAAACTGGTTAGATTTGCTTTCATTCCAAGTGCTACATATATTTCATTGAAATGTTTTCATAAATAAGGAAGTTGGCATTGCGCATGCGCACAATCAAATTTGAAACGTGTTAGTTTCACATTTATTTCAAGTGTCTATATATTAAATTTTATTTGAATTAAGACTTTGATATTAAGCTCTACCATTGAATAATAAATATTCAATGGCTCTACAATATCTGCCCTGAGAAACCATTCCATATTTTCGTCTGCCAAAATATACGATTTGAAAAAAATACTCAGGGGATTTAGTTAAACAATTGTGCTAGAAATATCGGTACGCACGAAATCCTTGCACTAAGCGCTTCGAGATCAGCTCCATATCGCCCAAATCGGTTTAGTCATGTAGAAGTAGTACACTAACGGGCGGACGGACAACAAAGTGCAGTCGATGGCGTTTTTTCATGAGTAAAATACGCTAAAAATATGGTAAAAGCACTCTTGGATCCTTCACTCGACCCCATAATCGAAGTAGCGTTATGGCAAAAAATATAGCAAACTATAGTTTTGCCTCTATAATTAATAGAAAATCGATAAAAAAATGAATACCCTGAAGAGTTAGCAAAAGGCTGATACGTTGATTGAAATGCAGGTAGGTCTGATTTTGGGTGTTGATGTGAAGGCGCAGGGACGAATGGCGGGGGACATGTTTTTACCACTCTCACTTTTGGGACATTGGGGTATGAAAAAATCTTAAAGTATCACCTTATTAAATTATTTAAAAAAAAACAAGATAAAGTTAATATAAATTTATACAAAATTGTACATAAATTAGAAATAAATTAATTTTACAGCACACACTTAATTACGCGAAACAAGGAACGTTTCGGTTTCAGGTCCCCAAACCTGTACCGCCTTGAGCGCTTCCTGAGGATCAATTTTGGATATATCTCGATCGTCGAGCATGAGTATTTTGTCGCCGGTGAACAACTTTTGAAACGCATTGCCGTTTTGATCTACGTCATCGATGAACACCCCCTGCGGAAATTGTGCATGAGCAATTTATACTGTTCGACTGTTACCTTACCTCGACTGTGTGGCTAACTGAAAAGCCCAAAACATAACAGCACGGCGTTAATTCCACTTTGATAATTTTTCTGTTACGATGAGCGCCAAAAACCCAGTTCATATATGACTTGGAGTCATTTGCGTTTTTGTTGTCGCTATTAATACAACTTGAAGGTGAGACTGCATTAATACGAGGATCTTGCAGTGTTGTCAATTTTCTATGAAGGGCTGTGATTATAGTGAATAACTGTTGGTATTGTTCTTCTACAAGGTTACATGAAAGAAGGTAGAGTATTACTTTTATTAAATGCAATTTTGACAGCACAGATGTGTCATCATCATTCAAATCATATTCGAAATTACTGTGAGAACAGTATTCGTACAGCGCCGCCTGTAGTTCATTATGCAGGTGTTTGTGTTGGTATGATATGTAATTTGAATCCAATAGAGTTGCCACAATATCCATCAGCAGCAATTTTCTGTTCGTTTCAGAATTATCTTGTGAAGTATGCACGACGGAATCTGAGAGTTGACTGCCAAGACGCGTTTCTATATGTTCTATTGCGTGCAGAATATGATTTTTACGGAAATACAAGTAATCATATTGACTAAGTAAGTATTCAGTTGTCTGTAACACTTGCACCTTTAGATCTAATAGGTTACATTCCAACAATTCTCGACTGTCATTGTCGTTTACTATTTTCAAAAAGTGCTCAATTATGCACTTGTATTGATGCGTATCGGCGCGGATTCTCAACAGTTGGGACGCTACCTTTAACACACTTTCAATTATGTGATACTCGACATTATTGTCATTGTCAATTTGATCGACGCATGTCGGTTTGTGTTGTGGTTGTTGCAGACACCTTGCATGTTTGGGCTGAGGATTTAAAATGTTTAAAGGTTGATCTTGGGTGAAATGCTTTGGTTCTGCTTCTTTACAATTTTTCTCTGAAGAATTTAAAAAGATGTGGGCACCTTTCGAGTACGCTGCAGCGATGTGGTACGGAGGTGGTTGTTTTGGTTTTACATTCTGCGAGGGATCGAGAATCTTGCTTCCACTGTAGGTGGGCGAAGAACTTCCAACTGTACTTTCTACGTTCGTTGTGAGATCACTGTCAATTGAAATATCTTTGCTAAAACTGTCACTTAATTCTCTGCTATTGTCTAGTCGCAGTTGAGTGCTGGGAGTTTCGCTCACATTTTGATCAATGCTGCATTGACTACTTTGAGTTAGTATCTCTAAAACAATAAACAATCATGAAAATAAGAGAAACCGTAATCTTACCATTGTCTGTCTTTTCGTTGGCGGCATTTTTCATGGGTATAATATTTGCTTCCTTAATATAGACTGCATTAGTGCTGGTACTGTGCGAGATAGTCTCGGAATTTCGTTTTAAAGCGTTGCCAAGAGTACGTTGATATTTCACGAAAGCTTTCGGGTGAGGTGTAGGGATACGAGTGAATTTCACAGGCAAATCTGTTTTGGCACCCGGTTCCACAAACTCAATCTTTCGACCGGTCGATGCAACGGTGCTGGGCGTTGGAATTTCGAGAGGTACTTCAATTTGTGGAAGGAACACGCATGTTAAAATTACTTGTCCATTTTCTAGTGCTTCAGTTTGCAAAGTGATCTACAATTGTGGGAAAACATTTTAATTTATCTTCAGATGACTTTTTGTGTGATAAACTTGGACTTTACTGCTTGTGATTGCTTCAAACAACAGACGTAAAAATTATCCATATTCAAAATCCACTTCAGCTCAAAAATCCGATCCAATGTAATATACAATTGGAAAAAGATTCTGAGAGAATTTTAAATTAATTCTAAGAAGATTCTACTCCATCCAAGATCCAAGAATACTGTTAGACTATAAAAATTGTGACGGTTCTCAAATTGAAGATTCTGAAGTTCTATCCCAATCCTAAGTTTAAAGGATTCTAAGTCTTTAACATAAACAGGGTGGCAATTTGAAAACTTACCACTCCCCATGTCGTAGTAAATAAACGGGATATTTTAACAAATCAAAATCCGTTTCGGTAATACGGAGGGGGAATCACAATGACATAGTTGGCGACGCACACCTTCAACCCCCTGCGCCCCAGCCACCCCAACTTTTAAATCTTAAATAGGACCCCCCATGTGTGATACGTCATTGGAAAGCTCTGAAAAAATGCTTTCCAACCATACCAAATAGCATTACATTTAGGTTAGTAATTATCGTGCAAATCAAAAAATAAACTAATATGATATATTTTCTAAAGTTGGCTTTTATTTCAATAAATGTTCAAAATGGCTTCCGTTATTGGTAAGACAGTAGTATAATCTATTCTCAAACTCTTGTCGAACCTTTTCAAATGTTGGTTTTGCAATATTTCGACATTCTTGAATTATTCTCTGTCTTAGTTCGTCTATGTTCGCCGGTTGCGTTTTAAATACGACAGATTTCAAATGTATCATATTAGTTTATTTTTTGATTTGCACGATAATTACTAACCTAAATGTAATGCTATTTGGTATGGTTGGAAAGCATTTTTTCAGAGCTTTCCAACGACGTATCACACATGGGGGTCACTATTTAAGATTTAAAAGTTGGGGTGGCTGGGGCGCAGGGGGTTGGAGGGGGTGCGTCGCCAAATATGTCATTGTGATTCCCCCTCTGAATTACCGAAACGGATTTTGATCTCGTTTATTTACTAAGACATGGGGGGTGGTACGTTTTCAAATTGCCACCCTGTATAAGAAATTTCAAAGACTAGTCTGTCTAAAATCGACGCGAAGTAATAAATTTACTTGATAGACGGAGACAGAGAAGCACTTCCATACAAAAATACTATTTCTATTTCACCTATTTATAATTTATTACTTTTTTTTTTTTAATAATTCTAACTAGTTCAACATATTACATGTTATTCATAGCCTTAGATACGTAACTAAATTAACTAGGTAACAAGGACGTTATCCTAAGATAATAGCACATCTTGCGGCTGATACAAATGGTAAGAAATTTGTTACCATTTGTATCAGGAAAATTCACTGTATGAATTCCATCCACTCATCTAAGGGTCTCAGATCTCAGCACTGAAATTACGTAGGAAGCTGCGGTATTTTCCAGAAAAAAACCACTTATACTTTCGATCTCGTTTACATGTGACTTCTTATCGTATTTTTCAAGAAAAAACTGCGTATACCTGTGTGAATTCTGTTCATCTGTCAGAGGGTTGTAGAAACTTAGGTAGAAACATTTAAAACCTGGGAGTTTGCAGTTTTTCTAACTCTCAAAAGCTAGCGTATTTTGACACAAAAAAATGAGGATTCTGTTCGTCTGTTGAGGGCTTGAGATCTCAACATTCAGACCTGCTATAAGGATGTTTTTGTTTTTTTTTATTTAATAGGTGTTAAAAGTCAGTAAAGTAGGGGAAATGAAATTCCTGCTCACTATTTCTTATTCGCTTTGTCAGGGAGTGTACAGTAAAGTTGTAGTGCAAGGTCCTGATGGACATGAACGTCATGGTAATGCCATGCCAAGTTTTGTGAAACAGATCGTGTTACGCCACGCCAGAAGGAAGGCCTTCGATATATGAAGAAAAAGGTTTTGAGAAACTGTGTATACCTACTGAATTCCATCCGTCTGTCTCAGAGCTCAAGATCTCAGCACTTAGACCTGATAGAAGGATGCAGTATTTTTCTAATTAATAGGGGTTCATGCATGTTCATCAAATTTCTTACTGTGTGTATTATAATGAAAGTACAGGCTGCGCGCTATAGCATGACGAATAACGGCACAGACCGAATATGACATCGGCAATTGCTGGGAAAACGTTGAAAAGTTGAGCGTATCTTACTACATAATAATATTAATAAATGTCTTTATTGTCAACAGAGCAAATAATATTTCTTTGTTGATACATATGCATGACAAAAGGTGCAAGTTCAGGGACAGGCACTTGGACATTATAGTATCATGCTCGTTATCATGACTACGGCACTGGATACCTCAAGTAAACCGCACAAACTCGTTTGCTCTAGCCATGCTATAGCGCGCGGCCTGTACATGAATTAATGATGTGAATTCTGTCTGTTCATTGGAAGGCTTCAGATCTCATCATAGAGATTATATAAACAAGTATAAATTGTACACAACTCTTGTGCAGATACAGCGCATTTTTTTACCGAAATAGCTTTTGTTTTGACATCACCAATGGATATATTTCTTGCAGACGTCTCAATCGCCCTTTGTGAGTAGGTACCCTCTTCCGACAATCCGTTCTTGAGGTATAAGGGAATATACCCGATGACGATAAGAGGTCGAGGAGGAGGGCTATGGTTGGTAGAAATTAATTCCTTTCGTTGAGACCTTTCATTAGAGTACCATGAAGGCTAAAACTAGTTCCACCCCCTCCCCTCCCCCCATACTTTGATAAGAGGACAGAAAGAAGGGCAGTAGTTGGTAGAAAACGGTTCCTTTCGTTGAGACCTTTAATTAGAAACAATGATAAAATTAATTTTGACCCCCCCCCCTCAGGCCTCGTCGCTCACTGATCTCGAAAAAGAGTCGCACGGGAAAGTGGTAGTTTATACAAACCAATTTATTTCGATGATACCTTTCATTAGAATACAATGAAGGGCAGAACATTTGTTTACCCCCCCCCCCCCCAACTCCTAAAGTTTAACTTAGCACACCACTAAAGGCATGCCTATGCAAAATCTGAGACCAATTGGTTGTCGTATGTAAAAGCTATGCACGTTTTACTTTTAAAAACAGCATCTCAAGAAATAATTCGTGGGGGGGGTGGCCCCCTTTTACACAGCGAAATTTGATGGCCGTCTGCCACACCTTCAAGGTATAGGCTACCTCCTGCAAAAAATTCCGGGACTCTTACGACCATTTCTCTAGAAGTAGTTCAAAACAGTAGAAGTGGGTCCGGATGGACGGACGGACAAAACGCAAACAATAGCACATTTTTTTAATTCTTAAAAAATGCGCTAAAAACTGGGACTTTTGGTGTATTTTTGTTTCAAATTTGTTACTGTGTTCATTATAATGAAAGCACATCTATTAGCGGTGCGAATTCTGTGAAAAAAACTGGTTATACCGGCGTGAATTCTGTCCGTCTGTCTAAGAGCTCGAAATGTTAGTACTCGGGCTGATAGAACCAAATTTCATACTGTATTTATTATAATGAAAGTACATCTATTAATGGTGTGAATTCCGTCTGTCCATCTGAGCGTTTCAAATGTCACCATTTGAGAGCACATAGGAAACTATGACCATTTAGCGTATTTTTCCAGAAAATTAATTCTGTCCGAGGGTTTTAGATCTCAGCACTCAGACCTGGTAGAATTGTTTCTATTTAATATGTAGGTATGAATGAATAAAAAGAAATAATCTTGTCGAAAAACTTTGGTGTCTGGTCAGGCGCACTCCAACTCTGCTGTGTTAGGAAATTTTACCTTGCGGTACTTCTAATATTCGACAATCCAGTGGCATATTTTAAGAGTGAGTTGATTATGCGAGTGTAGCGACTTTACTGCTTCTGTTTCTCAAAATGCGAAAATAGAAGCCTGCAAGTGGGAACAACTCAAAAGGTTTCTTTGGCTGACAGATATGTTACCCATTCCTAATTCTACACAAAAAAAACCGTTATTTTTGTAGCAACCGACAGATAAGAGACGTCAGTGTAATAAAACTATAGAGCTATAGAGAACTGAAAGCCATTTGTCAAATCAGCTTTCCTTAAAAGAACTTAAGTTTACCGCCCCTTCTTTGAAGAGATTTTGAACTCAGAAACTTCCACCAAATACAGAATGCAATGCGAAAATCACAATATCAAAATGGTAGGAGTTACTAAGGCGGGCAAAATAGCACAACTTTCCCTTAGGGAAAATGCACTGAAAATCTAAATATGAATATTTTCTAATTAACGTGTTACAACGCAAAAGTTTCATGTTAGTAGGTAATCTTAAAAATGTTATTATTCTGGTTAGTATAAAATAGCCTAGAAAATAAAATTTGGGAGAATGTTTTGTTTCTAATTCAAAATTGCACAGGTGTGCAGGTAGATAAGGTATTTAAATGACAACATGTGTGGTTTGATATTTGTAGCTATGTACTAAAAGAATGATTTTTATTGGTGCATGTGAAAGAAAGAGGGGAGTATGGTCGCATTTTGAGTGAAAATTGGTGAACATTCACAATTTTAATGAAAGTGTTGGGCAAATCTGTGCAGCAAGTGTTGAAGACCTGGCACAAATAAGGTAGGAATTTCTAAAATTCTCTATTGATGGTCGATAAAGTTAATTTAAGAGCAATGTTTGGTTAATTTTTGTGGCAATTCCAAGTTTACCACACTACTATAAGTATTTTCGGTTTAATTCTCAATACCAATACCTACAAGTGGTTGAATTTGATTGTGCGATAACCATAGCGCCTTTAGTTTTCGCAAACTTAATATCGTAATTGGTAGATAACGCAAGTTGTTGTTAATTAAACTGATGGAAGTTAAATTCTGTAGATGTCCAATTTCGTCCGGTAGATACATTAAATTATTGTAGTGTAAACTCAAAACGCTTAAAGAGGTGCAACTTCCCAATTCTGAAAACGAAAGCTCAATCAATGTAACATAGAGGTGTCACTTCTTACCGGGCGGTAGAAACGTTATGGAGTTTTGCGCAGCAACTAACGAGTTTAATTTTCGCAACATACCGATGGAGTGAGGAAACGATTTTAAATGATTGAACTGCACATCTAACTCTTCCAGGTTATGTAAACATCCTATACTTTCGGGTAAACTTTCCAGTAGATTGTGATCTATTTTTAGTGTATGTAACGTAACTAACTTTCCGATATCGTTCGGAAGCTCTTTTAAATCATTCATGGACAATAATAAAAGTGTCATATTTGAACACAGTCCAATGCTATTAGAAAGCGATTCCAGCCTATTACACGATATATCAAAATGTACCAGTTTTAGAAGATTACCTATACTTTCCGGCACTTCACAAATAAAATTATCATTCAACCAAAGCTCGGTTAAATTAGGCATGGTACCGATGATATCAGGCTAAAACATATCATAAAGTGATAGTTAAAAAGTAAAGGCAACTTACAAAGTGCCGAAACACATTGCTGCTGATATCTAACCGTCGCAAGTCGGATAATTGCTTTAATGACTTTGGTAACGATGAAAGATGATTTTCCCTTAATTCTAATATGTGTAAATTGTTTAAACGTCCAAAATTCGCTGGTAAAAATTCAATATCACAATTATTAAGGTATAACTCCTTTAAACAGACTAATCTTGTTACAGAATTAGGCACTTTTGTTAGATTGTTCGAGCTTAAATGTAATACTTTTAAGCGATGGCAGCGGTGAATATTAGCTGGTATGCTTTCATAAACTAAACCTGCAAGAATGCTGTTTAGTACCTTTATCTAATGTGGCTAAAAACATACAGTTTCTGTTTAACATTAAGACTTCTAAATTTGTCAATTTTTCTATGAGAGGAGGTATAGTTTCCACTTCATTATCACATAATACTAGATAACGGATTTCTTCACATTGAAACAGTGTTCTAGGTAGTTCCACAATCTGCAATAAACATGTGAGATTTTCAGTTCACATTCGCAAATACAAACCTTGTTACAATCAAGATAGAGATGTTGCAAAGTTCGTTCGAAGTTAAAAACTAAAGCAGGAACTTCTTTTAGGGTGCTACAACTAAAATCGAGGGTAGTAACATCTTCAACTTCTGGATTAATGCATGATAAACATTTGCACCAATTCATACTTATAAACAATACTGTTTCAGAATACTTTTCACTTTTCTAATACTACAATTTTGGAAGTCATGATAAAATAAGTAAAGTTTAATTTAAAATTACACACAGTTGTGTGTATTTTTCATATTTTTATTGAAATTAAAAAACACATAAATATACAAAAACATTATTTGACATTTTAGTTTATTGAACTCAGCTACTTTTAGGTTGCATTCGTGCGGAAAATGGGGATTTTGAACTACGCTTATATGTAGTTGAACTACCTCTGTAAGTAGGTGACCTACCCATATATCTTCCGCTTTAGACTATGAAAGAAAGGGGACTGATAATATCCTATCAAGGGCAATGCTGGGCGTTGAAGCCTGGGGCGGCCGTATTTTCGGAGCCAAAGTTTGTTTAATTTTTCATTTTCGTGATTATGCGATCCTTAAGTCTCGAACTGTGCGATTAAAAACATTATTGGACAATGGTACATTGTAGTGCACGGAAGTGATAACCAAAAATCACACGGAAGTAAATCGTTTCACAGGTAATTATAGGGTAGTTTTCGGTGAAATAACAAACAAATGTGGGCTTCACTTTACGATCAACGATCATTATTATCACTCCTCAATCTTTCCTTCTCTAAGATCTGCCACTCGTTTCAAATCTATTTATTTTATATGGGGTATATTTAAACATTTGAATTGAAAGGTGTTTTGAAACAAACAATTAAATCGTATCTTTTGATATTAATGCTTTGTTTCGTTTGCTACTTCATGATTTAAATTACGTTTTTACTAGGTACATGGGACAACAAATAAACAGTTGTTCAATTTTTGTCGTACTTTGGTGAGAAGCTGTAAAATTTTGCTATGCTTTGTTGTTGATTCTATTCGGTTTCGATATTTCCTCTCGGTGGTGGTTGTTCCCTCGGAATCCCCACCACCTCATCCCACCTAAGTTCCATTTCGGAGACCTTTCGGTGGCTTGGAGTCGAACGGGGCGGAGATGGGGTGTTTTCATTCACTGATGAACCGCTTGCGTGTTATAACGTAAAGTACGTGAGTTATTCCGTTTACAATTAAATCAACAATAAATTTCTAACAGTCTTTAAATTAATTGACTTACACCAGTTAAAGTATTATTTATCACTAAAATATATACACAATTTGTAACAGCGCGAACTATTTATTGCTTCAGATTTGCAATTCGAACTGTCCTGCAACGCAATTCGATTTGCTTATATATATCAAACTCGAGTGTTCTCTCGAATGTTGTCGAACATTCTAGAAAGATATGCGTCACATCCACCTTCGTTCTTTATGGCCGGTTACTAATCGTTCATGGCGCCTCGGTGTCCATCGGGATTGCGGGAACATTCGCTACAGTATTTATACATATCATGTGGACTATTCCATTTAACAAAATTTGGTGATGGTGTTAACGGACAAAACTAATTAGCTTTTCTACTTTTGTTTCTGGGAAACTTTTTTGTGAAAGGTTGTAGTAGTTCCGGCTGGTGTTCTAGATAGGTTATGTTTAATGATCCTAAACTTATCAAAATGGAGTATCTAAACTACAGAGATTTTTGGTTTTGAAACTGAGAAAAAGACAAATAAATTTCCTTGAGGGAATAGGAGCTTTGCAAGGGAAGCAGAATTGAAGGAAAAGAGGCTGTAAAACCTTTTATAATAAAGTTTGTACTTTTCCTTAAATGGTTATGAATTTATGATATTCAACTGGTTTTCTTAACCATCTCCGTAAGGAGTTTTTGAGTTTTGGGTAAAGTACACAATCGCTCTACGCAAGTCACGTAACGATTTATTATAAGATTGAGTTGTAAAATTATATTGTAAACTATATGTATGTACAATCAATATAGTTGATTATTTCATATTTGGTGAAACTGTTGTGAGCTCCTGGATTCAATGAATGTCATAGAGCTAAAACCGCTTTGCGCCCGTTGTTTGACTAGTTTTAGATGAGATCACGAGAGAAGCACACATTCGCAAATACTTTTTCACTATACAATGCTCCTAGTTGTGCTCGACTGTACCTTTGTAAAATTTTGGCCCTTGTCCGGCGAAGAATTGCAGTTGCAATTTTTTTAATTTCCAAAAAAGCTATGTAAATGCGCGAATCCGATCTTTTCATTTATTTACTTTTTGGACCGTCGGTTTTCTTCCCACCCAACTTTTTCGACATATTCAATGTTACACCCTGTACACTTGATGTACACAGACCTTTAACCTAGAGGTCGCTGAAGTCAATGTAACTCGTCATTTATAAAATGTCAAAAAAGTATAAATGTTCTAATAATTTCTAATAAACAAATAGTTGGGGAATACTAAAAAATTATTAAACAATCTCAATTTGTTACAGAATGTTAGTAAAATAATCTCGTCTAATAAAGATACTTAAAAGACGACCAAACCAAAGACGTTGTCGATAGTTTATAACAAATATACCTAGGTCCGATGCTAATTCAAGATTTATAATAATGTATTCAAGAAGTACGTCTCCTTTACCACTACCTGTAAACCACCAACGTGACTGTATGTCGGCTGCTACAAAACGATGGAAGTACCTAAGACGAATGTTCAAATTTAATCAAATGGACTTCGAATTCGCCTTCTGGCAAATGTTGTATTTACTTATCGCACCACAGAAAGTGTACAGAAATTTTCAGTACAGGAAACGTACGTACATTCTTGCATAGATTATTAACCTTAAATTTCTCGTATTTAGAAACAAAATCACAGTTCGCCAGAGATGATCCAGCGTTTCTAGTATTATTCGCAGCGTGGCTCTGCAGTATGTATAATTTTGAAGGAGAGTTTTTATTATCATTGAATTTTAGTTACATCAATAGGATTTGCAATAGTTTTACGTTTAACTTTTTGGAAGTTTGTACATTTTTTGCTATATGTGATATTCATTGACTGCATTGGTATTGGTCTTATAATAGCAACATTCTTTTGGTGAGTAAACAACATCGCAGATTTTTGCGCAACTGAAATTTATAGGTATATATTGAACCGATACTTTCGTACAAGCAATGATCAAGATATAGAATGGGGGTACGCATTCGATGTCCATTTAAACGCTTTCTTTCCGCCATTAGTAATTCTGCACTTTTTCCAGTTATTTTTCTATAACGGTAACTGGTAGGTAGTTCTAGTAATTGGAATTAAGTCTGCGAATTTTAGGTTTAATAAGCCACGACTGGTTCATTTCGAGGTATCTGGGCAATACCTTTTGGCTGACGGCTGTTAGTTATTATATTTATATAACGTTTCTTGGGTATTCGTCTTTACCTATGTTAAAGCGTACCCATTTGTTGTTAGTACCGTTACCTATTGTAATCCTATTTTATGTGGTTAGTTTAGCCGCAGGCTTTAATATCACATATTTTCTAATGACGTTTTATACTGAACGAATTGTTTAAGTGTTACCTCCAATGTAAATTTTGAGTAATGTATAAATTAATTAGGTAACAATACATTTATTTTGTATTTTTACATTTATTTTTTGTGACCATTGTGCTTCTTTGGATGTCCTTCTATGCAGACTCCATTGGAGCTCCCAGTTAATCCAATACTGCACCGTTGTGAAATTACGTCAGGATGTACCCTAGTAGCCACTGTTGCAGGGGGACGGCCAATTTTTGGATTCGAAGTGGAGACATTAGGTTTTTCGTTACCAGAGGTATGCGAAGCAATTGTGCTGCTACTTGAGCTAATATTGTGATAGTTTATTGAAAATCCTTCTCTATACGACACACTGTCAGTTTCAACGTCTTTGCAGCAGCTGTAATTATTTGTGCGTTGATTAAATGTTAGGAATAAATTTTATTTGCCTTACCTATCCATTTTTAAACAATTCAGATTTCTAGTTTTCTTAACGGTTAACTATAGAATAGGAATCAAATAAATGTCGAAAACTTAAAGGCAAAGAAAGTTACTAAGAAGTTGATGTGTAATCATACATCATAGGTGTCGCTGCTGGTATCGAATAGTATGTATCGGAAGCGGAATTTTTAAATTTGGTTTATCGGAACCGTAATCGCAGGCAGAAAAGACATGTTACAAATATGTAAATAAATCAAATCAAATGACTCGAAAAGAAGCAAATTATATTTAATGAACAAAAAGGTAATCAACAGAATTCACGAGATGAGGAAGGTGCGACAAGTATATAAACTTGTTTGTAGGCGAACGCACTATTGGGGCCGCACCGCCTCCAACCCCCGATATAACATTCGATTAAAATTGGTCGGAATTAAAATCGAAAGTGCAAAATCAATCGGAAGTTCCACTCTTTCGGAATCGAACGTCCGTTCTTCTTTACTATAGACCCGTCTTATTTGTGGCCCGGAGCCCCGAGCCAGGCGTTGGCAGACGGGTTCAGCCCCCCACTCTCTTACAACGTAGTCTTGCCCCATCTGGAAACTATGGAGAATGGTTTTAATGGTTCCCTTACAAAATACGAAATGTAAACCTACCCAACTAAATATAATACACACAAATTATTACCCTGTAAATAAAGTCGAGCAAGGTGAAATGACCAAAAAAATTACTACCCTTATAATAGACGAATTATTGGTTTTCTTAAAAAAAAATGTAATTTTCGAAGCGGAATAAGACCATACCGTTATGCACGCTTATGGGGTGGCTTGTGACCCGGTAAACAAAATTAAACAAGGAAAGAGACATTTTCGATGTATGTACTTCAAAAACTACCGCTCTCGAAATAAACGGATTGCTTTGCAATAAAAGGGAGTTTAAAAAATTTAATTTTTGAAACGCGGCGAGACTATACTTTTTGTGCATTAAAAGAGTGGCTTGTGAATCTTGTAAACAAAATCATAAAGGGAAACAGAAATATTTGCAGTACCACAAAAACTAAAGCCCTCATAATAAACGGATTTCTTTCTTCTTAGAGTCCACAATCCTAGGATTGGTTGGACGCAGTCCTCCACCCTTTCCTATAACCTGCGCTAATCTTTTCATTCCTACATAACTCCCTTTCCCTACGTCCCTAACTGTTTGAACCATCTACCTAAGGCTCTGACGTCGTACACCTCTCTTGCCCTTTGACCTATCTTCTATAGCTAGCATGCCTAGCAAGCTAGCTGTACTAATCTTCTGTTGCTGAGCACGTGCTCTATCATTCTATCTCGTCCTCTCTGTACGGTTTTCCACATTTCACTATCTTCCTGCACTAGCACTAAGACCGCTTCGTTTGTTACCCTATATCTACATCCAGCTATCCTTCTATAGTACCACGTTTCGAATGCTTCTATCCTACTTTTCTCTTCCCTGATGAGTCCAGATTTCGCATTCGTATAGCTACATTCCATATGTACGTTTTTAACATTTTCCTAATTTCTATATTTATCCCGGATCTTAGCGGGTCGCGCTTTTGCTCAAAGGCTTTTTTAGTCTGCGCTATCCTTGATTTTATCGTCCTTACTACGGTTATCTTGTGCAACCTTCGACCTAAATATCATTGCTTTACAGTTTACATACTTTAAAGGAAAATAAAATATTTTTTTTATTTCGGTGTCACAATGATGATTTTGTACAACTGTTTTCGACCGAAAACAGTTGTACAAAGACAGTGATTATAGTCGTTTTTTTTTTGGTAACTCATCTCTTAAGTTGGCAGTTACTAGTTAGTACAAGTAGGTACTTCGTTGGGTACTTCCATGTTTGAACTTCAAAATGTCAGTCTTACTACCCTGCCAACCTAAAACTTAACGGCATAAAAAGTGTTCCCAACATAAAACATGTTAGTTCTAATGTTCCCTATAGTTTCTGATAATGATTTTTTTAATTAAATTAAAGCACCGAAATAGAAAAAATAGTATGAAAAACGCGTGTTACAATGCTTTATTGTAATACTCCTATCTTGCGGACACTCGTGGCTACGCTTCGCGTCGCCACTCGTGCCACAAGATAGTCGTATTACAATAGGTCGCATTGTAACACTTGTCTTTCAATATACTATTTTACACTGCTATTTGGTTTTTAGAATTACGCTAGTCTTGAGTGTGAAGTTGGAGTCAGTTGGTCACATCATTCTCTACTTTTGTTAAAAAAGTCACAGTTGAATTATTGATATTAAGTTTTTTAATGGTTATTTTAACAATGGTTTTTTAAGACACATTGTGAAGCAGAGCAAATGCAGTATACTGTGTATTGGGCGAAAATGTTCAAATTGAACCTCTAAGCTAAGCTAAGACCAATCCAAGTTATCCTGCCAGATCGATTTCAGCCCTAAGTTGAGATATTTGGTTGTCATCCGATAGGCACTTGGGAGAGACTATATAATACTTCCGATTGGCAAAGAACAGCGCGTAAGAGTAGAGAGGTTCATGATGCATCAAATTTTACAAAATTGTGAACAAACCGGCTATTGATATGAAATGTTACATTTACTGCTATAGTACTTCGCACGCCCTGGGATTTTAGGAATAGTGCCACTGTTTGCGTAACCAACCCCGTAGTGTACATGATGACGAAGATCGTGGAGGTTGGGTAAATTTATCAAACTCGTAACCTTTTTTTATCTTTGCAAAATTCGGCCTATTTCACGAATCTTCTTCCCCCTACATTCCATAGGGGTGCATATGGGGAGGAATGGTGCATCGCGATTAAGGTTTCTCTACCACAACCACCACTTCGGGCTGATATTGATCTGGTAATCGGAACCCCAGACCCGTAACCAGACAGTAGTAGTAATAGGGGTAGCGGGCATTTATCTAGATTGGGCTGTTTTATTTTTGTACCCAAACACCTACTTTGCAGACGTTTGGTTTTTGTAATGTAATAAAGTAGGTAATTGTTGTAGTGGTTTAAATATTTTTGTTGTCTTGTATGATTTCGCATTTAAAAAAATGCGAGGGATTTAAGGAAACTGCGACTTTTTCATAATATTTCATGTATTAGGTACGAGGACTCATTTTTATGGCACTTCAAATATTATTGTTTCCTTGTTTAATTTTGTTTAAGGGGTCTACAGCCCACCCTTTTAATGCAAATGAAACTATAGCCCTTCCCTGTTTAAAAAACTACAAACTCACTTTCACATACCTAACAATTCGTTTATTATCAGAGCTGTCATTTGTAAGGGATTTCAAATGCTTTTGTTTCCTTGTTTGATTTTGTTTACAGAGTTTAATTGTGATTTGTATTTGCATTTCGTCTCGTTAGTTTTGAAACTAATTTGTGTGCGTTATACCCATCTTGTAAAATTCATTAATTCTCATGTAATGAATTTTTGACATTTCAATAAAAAAAAAACAATTGTTTGTAGATCACTATAGCCAATGCGTAAGAAAATGGAATACTGCATATTTAGCAGTACCCTCATGTGCCCAAATGATGTAAAGGAAAAAATTAAGTTTGCATGTGCGATGAGACAACAATTACAGACTACACAACTTTGAAAATTGGTTGATGATGAAACAATTTTCCATGCGAGAGCTCAAAAATTTAACAAAAAAGCGGTGCAACTTGGGGAGCCATCAAAACGATGATTTCAAAAGTAAACGTGTTTCATCTTTGGCGCTGAGGTTTTAAAGTGGAAAAAAAAATTTATGATTTTTAAAAACATTGGATAGGTACACTTTTTAACCGCTGGTTAGCATTTGTGTTTACTACGCCGAAAGGCCACTACTGTTACTGTTTCATTAAAAAATCAACGTTTCGGACTGATATTTTAAACACTTTTTGGGATTGGTAACCGCAACAAAGGTTTACCGTCAAAAAAGCAATAACGATGCTGTATCAGCGGGTAAAAATCTATCCAATTTTTTTTTTAATTATAAATTTTTTTTCCACTTTAAAACCTCATTTTCACCATGCATGCAAAATTCTCAAAAATCAAACCTACTTGGCAATTAATTCTATAAACACTGGATTCGAAATTCATTCATCGTTCAATTGCAAGTAGTCGTGGTGGTCGATGTAACTAATTCAAGATGGAAATGTTTAAAACAGAAGGAATACAAATTGTTTTTAAATCTGTAATAAGCAAGCTAAGTTTTCCTTCTTGCCCGGCGATGTTGAAAAATGATTTATAAATGGCTTGAGTTATCAAAGAGAACTGTGCTAAAACATAGACATTCATTAAACAAAATGTTATCAATTGTTGCTTCACTGATGTGACCTAAATCTTTCATTTTTGCGCACCTAGTTATGCAGTAGGTACATACATGAGACCTAGATATTTTTACATTCAGTGTCATGACAAAAAGTTGTGTCGCAATCTCCAAGTAACCAATCATAAAGTCTCGAGCAACAAATTTTATTGTTTCTGTTTTTTGGCTACACTATTTTTGATATGCGACATGCGACATTAGCACTAACATGGTAACTACTAATTATTTTTGTTAACTAAGTAATGAGAGTGTAGATAATTTCTTTAATCTTTGCGTAACATATACCTAATGCAATAATTTAATACATCACAGCCTTGCTCAGGCGCAATTAAATACAAAACCGTTTTCGTCAGTACCTCCAGCATGAATAACCATTGACGGTATAGTAGGTCAAAGTCGTAACAGGACAATTAGACCATATCAGAAGTACCCGATTAAGAATCATTCGCAGTAAAAGTGACCTGTGCAATTATCTAATGCTATACAGCAATACATTAACGATTCAAAATTGTCCCGTTTATGACGAATTAAATATCCTCCAGAACCATCACTGTCGGCAATGAAATAATGTTTACGATGTCGCGGATCTAGGTAAACATTTAAAGATTAAAGCAAACACAAATTACCTACTTACTAAATTCACTAAATTGTATATGGTTTTTTCTATTATCTTCTTTGTACTGGTTCTTTTTTTCTGGGTTGTTGTACGAGGTCCCTCTTTTCCGACGGTAGTGTCCACAAGCCCTCACAAGCATTTCCCTTTTCTTTTCCGTGGAGCAGGGCGTTCCTTCCAATAAAATAACT